AGCAAGCACAATACAGGACTGCAGAGCCACATAGCAGGGCTTCTCTGCTTTAAATGAATATAAAAGTCTGGTCCAATTTGGCTTCCATGAAAACCATCTGTTTCCATGTCCTCTACTAAAAGTTGGAGAAAACAGACAGATGACAAATTAGCAGAAGATGTCTTCTGTGGTGCTGGGCCATCACTTGAATGCACCTTGGCCTGGATTCTTCAAGTCTCTGGAGCTGTGTTGGAGAGATGGAATGGTGTTTTTCTTAAAGATACTCCTTCAGTTGGTGTTCTGATGGTGCTGAGGAGCTTTGTCAACGGTCACTCCAAAATCTCCCACAGGTATTTAACTGGGTTGAGATACATACTCATCAAACCATTCAGTGACCTCTTGTACCCTGTGGAGGCATTGAGACCACTCATCAGGATAGAACTGCTTTATCATAGGATTTGTATTGATTTGCAGTGACCCTTCCTACTGCAGGGGTCAAGCATTAAGAATACAGCTCCTTATCATCACATCCTTTGTTCTGAGACCTTTTCCTGAGGTTCTAATCACTGAACTGTTTGTTCTGAGACCTCCTCCTGACTGTGTTTGGTTCTAATCACTGCATTGTTTGTTCAGAGACCTCCTGCTGACTGTGTTTGGTTCTAATCACTTCATTGTTTGTTCAGAGACCTCCTGCTGACTGTGTTTGGTTCGAATCACTGCATTGTTTGTTCAGAGACCTCCTGCTGACTGTGTTTGGTTCTAATCACTGCATTGTTTGTTCTGAGACCTCCTCCTGATGGTGATTGGTTCTAATTATTTGTTCAGAGACCTATCACTGACTGTGATTGGTTCTAATTATTGTGTTATTTGTTCTGAGACCTCCTCCTGACTGTGATTGGTTCTAATCACTGCATTGTTTGTTTTGAGGCTCCCACCTGATAGTGATTGGCTCTAAAGATTGCATCATTTGTTCTGAAACCTCTCCCTGGCTGTGGTTCTAATCACTGCATTGTTTGTGCTGAGGCTTCCTTTTGACTGTGATTGGTTCTAATCACTGCAGTGTTTGTTCTGAGCCCTCCCCTTGACTGTGATTGGTTCTATTTACTGCATTGTTTGTTCTGAGACCTACCCCTGACAGTGATTGGTTCTAATCACCTCATTGTCTGTTCTGAGACCTCCTGCTGACTGTGTTTGCTTTTAGTTGTCATGTTATTTGTTCTGAGACCTCCCTCTGACTGTTATTGGTTCTAATTATTATGCTATTTCTTTTGAGATCTCCTCCTGACTGTGATTAGTTCTAATTCCCGATTATGATAGGTTCTAATCACCACATTGTTTGTTCTGTGTTCATGTTTTCATCAGCCTGAAGACAACTGTCCCCCACAAAGAGCTAAATGCACACAAATACATGCACATGGTGTCTACCGTGCCTCTCTCTCCCACAAAGTATTTTGAGGAAGTTCTCCTTAAGCAGCACAAACATCATTTATCACCTCTTTCTAAATTCATATAATAAACCATTCATAACAGTCACATTAGGGAAGTCTTGCTGATGGACCTCGTGTATGAGTGTGTTTGATGTTGACATTGAAGGATATTTATATGATCCTAGTTCCTCTATCAGCATCTCTGAAGCAGAAGCTTTCATACACGATACAGTCAATACAACTACTATCACTGCTGACACACACGATCACTGATAGATAGACAGACAGACAGATTGACAGACATACAGATAGATAGATAGATAGATAGATAGATAGATAGATAGATAGATACACATATACATAGACAGATAGATAGACAGACAGACATATAGATAGATAGATAGATAGATAGATAGATAGATACATAGATAGATAGATAGATAGATACACATATAGATAGACAGATAGATAGATAGATAGATAGATAGATACACATATAGATAGACAGATAGATAGATAGATAGATAGATAGATACACATATACATAGACAGATAGATAGACAGACAGACATATAGATAGATAGATAGATAGATAGATAGATAGATAGATAGATAGATACACATATAGATAGACAGATAGATAGATAGATAGATACATAGATAGATAGATAGATAGATAGATACACATATAGATAGACAGATAGATAGATAGATAGATAGATAGATAGACAGACAGACATATAGATAGACAGACAGATAGACAGACAGATAGATAAATAGATAGATAGACAGACAGACAGACATATAGATAGATAGATAGATAGATACATAGATAGATAGTGAAGTATATTTTAAAAAGAAACCTTTGATAGAAGAAGGTAAAAACACTCTTTCAATAAGTTGAGGTGGTAGTATCTAGGAGTTCCCTGTGTGCTCTGTTTGTGCAGGGGCTAGGAATGTGAATTGGGGGGCCCTTGGTCTCTTAGGTTCAAATAGATGAGGTCATGTTAAAAAGAACCATATGCTCTGTCTCCTGTTTCAACAACAAGAACCATATATATATATGCTGTTGGTCAGTCTGTTCGGGAGGGGACATTTAGAATTGGCACAGATCCTCTCTCAGGTACTCTATAGTGCTTGATATCATACTGTTTTACTATGTAATAAATCTTTTACTGGCAACTCAGTATCGGCGGAGTTTTTCTTCACAACATCTAAACACCATCGCCACTAAATAAACAACAATAGATAGATAGATAGACAGACAGACATATAGATAGACAGACAGATAGACAGATAGATAGATTGATAGATAGACAGACAGACAGACATACAGATAGATAGATAGATAGATAGATAGATAGATAGATAGATCGACAGACATATAGATAGACAGATAGATAGACAGACAGATAGACAGACAGACAGACATACAGATAGATAGATAGATAGATAGATAGATAGATAGATAGATAGATACACATATACATAGACAGATAGATAGACAGACAGACATATAGATAGATAGATAGATAGATAGATAGATACACATATAGATAGACAGATAGATAGATAGATAGATAGATAGATAGATAGATAGATAGATACATAGATAGATAGATAGATAGATACACATATAGATAGACAGATAGATAGATAGATAGATAGATAGATAGATAGATACACATATAGATAGACAGATAGATAGATAGATAGATAGATAGATAGATAGATAGACAGACAGACATATAGATAGACAGACAGATAGATAAATAGATAGATAGACAGACAGACAGACATATAGATAGATAGATAGATAGATAGATACATAGATAGATAGATAGATACATAGATAGATAGATAGACAGACAGACATATAGATAGACAGACAGATAGACAGATAGATAGATTGATAGATAGACAGACATACAGATAGATAGATAGATACACATATAGATAGATAGATAGATAGATAGATAGATAGATAGATCGACAGACAGACATATAGATAGACAGATAGATAGACAGACAGATAGACAGACAGACAGACAGACATACAGATAGATAGATAGATAGATAGATAGATAGATAGATAGATAGATAGACAGACAGATAGATAGATAGATAGATAGATAGATAGATAGATAGACAGACATACAGATAGATAGATAGATAGATAGATAGATAGATAGACAGACAGACAGACAGATAGATAGATAGATAGATAGATAGATAGATAGATAGATACACATATAGATAGACAGATAGATAGATAGATAGATAGATAGATAGACAGACAGACATATAGATAGACAGACAGATAGATAAATAGATAGATAGACAGACAGACAGACATATAGATAGATAGATAGATAGATAGATAGATACATAGATAGATAGATAGATACATAGATAGATAGATAGACAGACAGACATATAGATAGACAGACAGATAGACAGATAGATAGATTGATAGATAGACAGACATACAGATAGATAGATAGATACACATATAGATAGATAGATAGATAGATAGATAGATCGACAGACAGACATATAGATAGACAGATAGATAGACAGACAGATAGACAGACAGACAGACAGACATACAGATAGATAGATAGATAGATAGATAGATAGATAGATAGATAGACAGACAGATAGATAGATAGATAGATAGATAGATAGATAGACAGACAGACAGACAGATAGATAGATAGATAGATAGATAGATAGATAGATAGACAGACAGATAGACAGACAGACAGACATATAGATACATAGATAGACAGATAGATAGATAGATAGACAGACAGACAGACAGACAGATAGATAGACAGACAGACAGACAGACAGACAGATAGATAGATAGATACACATATAGATAGATAGATAGATAGATAGATAGACAGACAGACAGACAGACAGACAGACAGATAGATAGATAGGTAGACAGATAGATAGATAGACAGAGAGACAGATAGATAGACAGACAGACAGACAGACAGACAGATAGATAGATAGGTAGACAGATAGATAGATAGACAGAGAGATAGATAAAAATGGCCGTACCAGTGAACATGCATGTCTTGAGAGACTGTGCATTATATCCATGATATGTTTTAATATTTGTATTAATATGATATTAATTTTCATTTTATTTTTAACATTTTGATTTTATTTATAATACTATTATTTATAATGAATGTAAATACTATCAGTACAACATCCTTCCCAAATAATACATACACAAACAAACAAACAAACAAACAGGCAAACAAGTAAATAAATAACTCGATCAAAGCACCTCCTGCTCTCTTTGAGCACGTGACGCGCTCTTGGAAATAAAGTAGAGTGCAAAAGATCATCTATTACCAAAGTATTTCCGCCCGACACTGCGTCTCCAGTCACTCTGCACATGGTTTCAGTTTTGAGGTGCTTTCCGGAGCGTGAAGCCCGGCGGCGTTTCAGCTCCGCACTGTTCAGAATAAACCTTTAAAGATCTCCTCACACCGCGTTACTGTGTTACCGTGCAGGGTTCCCCGCTAAGGTGCTGAAAGCTGTAATGTGCACGTGAGACACTCCGCTCAGCTGGGTCAGTTCAGGCGACTCCGCGCGCGAACTTCGCCGCAAAGCGTCCCCGCGCGCGTGTTGTTTCTCGGAGCAGATTGTGCAACATGTTTTTACATGAACTTTAATCCGTCGCGATTGTATTGTCGCCCCTTTTTACGGCTGAGCGCGAGCTAATGTTTAACAGGAGAGCCTCGCGAGCCCTGCAGCCCCCTGCTTTCCTCCTTTTCTTAACACGCTCAGCAGAAATCAGTGAAGAGGAACGTAATCGGCCGCTCAGCGCGGAGTGTTTCCCCCTTTTCTGAATCAGCCCGGGAGCCAGAGATGGGAACGGTCAGTATGCTCCAAAGACTTTTACGCACGGCTTTTACGCATGCACTGCTCTTAGCTGCCAACTGCAGCCGCGCGTGGGTAAACGTGGCTGGGTGGTCTTGCTGGGGGGCAGCACTCTAACTCGGTTGCCTTGCGTTTGCAGTCAGTATCGCCCATGTTTACGCGCGTGGCCGTCTACTTTAACGCGCATTCTAACGCTTTTCCCCCCTCACTCGGCAGAACGTGTGGAAGATCGTCCTCGCTGTGTTGGCGGTGGCCGTGGTGGTGATTCTGATTGCTGTCCCAACAGCTTTGTTTCTGAATGGTAGGTGTCATACTTGCCTAACATCCCAATAGCAGACCACACCACTGTTCTGCTTGGTCCACTACAGGACGGAACTAATTTCATTGCTTTATTGAATGAACTGGAGTTGGATCATGTCACAAAACCCTTGTAGTGGAGCTGATTGGCTCCATGATGGACTTGCGAAGGCCAGGCCGGACACAGATGCTACGGTTTCCATAGCAGTAGCTTAGGGATGACTGATTTGCTGGGTCAGGCCATTAGTGCTGCTTGAACTTTGGCTCAGGTCATGCCTGTGGTGACGGTAGAAATGCTGAACTGACCCTTAACCAGGGCTCGTCCGATCCGAAAATGCCATAATTGATACTGATATTAAGCTAAAAGTAAGTAGTATAGGCCAACTCCAATAGTTTTAGTAGCTGACCAGAGCTTTACTGACCAATATGAGTATCGTTTGTCACCTATGTCGGCCCTCAACTGTCAAAGTTTCGACTGATTTTCCAATATTTCTGCATAATACAATTATTTAAGATGTAAACAGAGAGATTCAGAGTGGTTTGGTGTGAAATGGTTCAGATGTCTTTACAGTGGTGGTGATAGGAACCAGGGGTCGCCATGACTACAACACAAATATAGACATTTTATTTACTATCCAGAACCACCAGTGAACCTACACGAGTCTTCTGAGTTTATATGGAATGTTGATGATGGAAAATAGTGGAAAATCTGGAATAATAAGTTTTATTGGGGACTATTTTGCCTCATAACACCCTGCATAGTATGTATCCCTCCACCGTGAATGGATTTCAAGGCCAAAATCTTCTCAGAACTATCATGAAACAACGTCTCAGATATGAGGAAGCATATTAATAACCATTTCATGTAATAACTGTCTGTGAGGGAGATTATAGAGGTGGACGTCTGGTTCCTATCACCACCACTGTGAACAATTCTTACTCTTATGCAGAAGTTTTGAAAAACTATTTAAATAATATTAACCCCTTAAATGGCCAGAGCCCAGCAGCAGGCCCTAGTTTTATTACACACTTCTATAAGCTAAGAATAGCTCAGACAGTTTGCATTGAAGTCCCTGTAGTTACTGAATAATAAGCCTTAGTATGTAATAAGCCTGGGCACTTTCAAGAAAGGGAAGATATTAACTCTCATAATGTCGAACTGTCACACTAGTGACGTTTTAAGATATAAAACATGAAGTGAAATACTGAAGTATTGTCCACTCCTATGGTACTACAGATACTACCATAGCAGACAGCAGCTTGTTTGTGTTAATGTGAGTGTTAATGTGTATGTGTGCTTCCAGAGAAGAAAGAAGACCCCCAGAGGACCTTCACTCTGAATGACTACTTCAACAGCACCATCAGAACCAGATCCTTCAACCTGCGCTGGCTCTCCGGTGAGCCAGTCCTGTTCTTTCTAACATTTTACAATTAAAATCTAGTTCAATTTATACAGTCGTCCCACAGTGGAGCCACAAGGCTAATGTAGTGAGCAAGTGAAAGCTTATACCCCACCAATTAGCATGGCGCTAACTGCATGCCTCCGACCCAATCTCCAACCTCTCCTTATTCCTAAAATCAAATAGGCTGTTTTTGTTACTGTGCCTTTAAGACTGTGACCTCTGCTCTAATTGGTCCTTATTCAAAAATCAGCTTAGAATGCTGCGTTCAGACGCTCATCAGAAGGTTGTATACACCAGGTTTGTGTAAGTTTATACTTAAGTTTGTGTGTAAAGTCTTTACGAAGTCCTTAGTTACACTAGTTAGTATCATTTTACTAAATTTGGTTGCACCACAAATCCGTAAGTCATGTTTTAACTAGTGACAACTAACTAATGCGTACGTTGCTTTAACAGGACGATAACATGATCTATAAACCCGCTGCCATGGAAACGCAGGTTGGTGACAGGTTAAACTGAATAAAACTAATTATCTATAGCCGCTGTCTGTCGGTATTTAGCTTCAGGTTCCGAGTTTAAACGAGGGTAACGATTGGAGCCACAGCGTATAGCAATTGGAATTATTAGCTTAGTAACCAAAAAAGCCATGTTTCTGGTCTTTTTTTGTGTTTTCTATGTTGTTTCTTGGGTGGTGTAAATATTTGCTAACTAATAAGCTCAACATTAAAACTAGTTTGTGGTGAACACACAGCTGGTACAACCGGCCACAGTTGTTTAACTAGTAAATACAGCTTTACTCTGTTCGGGTGCTCGTTTGTGAACACGCCCAGGTCCGGAGGATAAACATCCTGCTTTTTCTTCGCTGCATTTAAAAGCACGTAGACCTAATAAAAACGCAGCTATACATTTTTTCACATTCCTTGCGACATTAGAGTGTTTCACTCGTGTGAAAGGTGAAAGGTCGCGTTATAGGTCCCGTTAACTCATCTCGAATCCCGAGTTTACCAGCGCAATTTACAAGTGGGAAAACTGGTATATAGCACTCAAACACAGCATAAGCTCAGCGTGAATGGGTGGATATATGTAAAAGTCTTGGTTACCATGACATCACTAGTCAAAATGGGCAGTTCTTGATGTTTTATATCCATATATGCGGATATAACCGTGTATAGAACAGAGTCGGTGATGGTAGTAAACAATTTCGGACACTACGTCGTACAGGTTTCCTCGTTACTGTGATGTAAACACTATAAACGTCCAGCCCCCCCGTCCACTATAACCACTATAACCTCTGAGTTTGACTGCGCACTTGAGAAGAGCTCACTAACATCTGTATCAGGTCTAAAGAGAGGCCTGTGGAGGTGCTGCCATTGTAGCTGGTAATCCTACTACTTTCGTGTGCAAATAACGCAGTGCATTATGGGTATTCCCTATCCCGTAGAGTATGTCCGTTGTGCACTACTGATTGTGGTGCATTGTGGGATTGCTTGAATGCGCTGGATCTTCTGCACTGTGTTTTCGGACACCACTACAAACGGGTGAACTCCGAAATAGTGCACTGTATAGTGAACAGGGCAGTTTCACACACAGCTCTGGACTGTATGTGGACTGAATGGTATGTTTTGCAGCTTTAACAGTGTTTAGGTTTCTTAAAACTTTCCAAAAAAGTGAGGGAAGTTTATTTTCCGAGATATGGACCCTTTAAGTCATATCTAATAGACTTGCTAGTGTGGTTTCTAACACTGTACCACATACTGCTGTGCATAAACATGGACTAAATTGTGCTGTGAAGCTAAAAATAGCCTGACTTTTGTCTGCCATGTTTATGTGCTACAGTGTCAGAAACAATATAAGCAGGCCTGCTAGAGATCGGCTAACAAACAAACTGTTCTTTGGGAATCGGGGGCATTTCAGGAATCAGATTTTCCGTGGACTCCCCACTTTTGCGCCTGTGTTTTTGATTTCTCAAGGTTCGCAGGCTAATTACATTCTCAAATCTGATTTATCCAGCAGGGGTGTAGCTGGGACGTTTACAGAGGGGTGGGCAGGATAGACCCAGTATTTTTAGTAGGATGGCAAAATGAAACAGAAGGTAACCCCTTAAAATCCCAGCCTTTTTACATACTAAGGCTTATTATTCAGTAACTACAGGGACTTGTTGAACTATTCTGAGGATATAGAACTGTGTAAGGGGCTGTTTAAGGGGTTAACTAGCTGAGCAGCTCAGCAGATAGCTCAGATAGCAGGCTAAGATGCTAAGACAGTGGTCGGCCCATGGCCTATTAAGGGGTTAATGAGGTTCTTTTGTGCTATTATTAGGCCTACATTGGTAAAATAACTGTCTTCTTTTGAAATACCTGGTGAATCATGTTGTTTAAAACACTTGAAACTGATTTTCGTCCTGTTTTTGATGAGGTTCAGAGAAAAGTAGTGTTTTGTTCCATGTTTGTATTTGTTCCTTGTATCATTTCTACTGCTGGATACTGTGTTATTGGTTCAAATCATGTGCTCTGCAGCACGACGTATAACAAAACAGAAGAACTGTGCTATATTGATGTATTAATGTATTTATGTGCATTAACTGTGTTTCCCTAATGCAGAGGTCCAATGTGAACTGCTTCTTTAAGCAACATGACATAAGGTATTTTGCTAGTAGTACACAGTTAAATGTACATTACTACATCAGTGTAGTACAGCATATTTGTTACATGTCATGCTGTGGTTCACAGAGTGAGCCCTGTAAAGCCTGAAATATTCATTTAAAAGTCAGAGGAGTCAGATCTTTTTCAGACCACGTCGCACGTCTTTACGTGTTAACATCACAGACTTAAAAAGAAGGTCCAGCTCCACGTTTAGGTCTCGAAATCAGCATTATACTGATGAAGACATGATCACAATAGTAGATACTTCACTCACAAACTCAGAAGACGTGTCCTTCAAGTTTCGACTGAGTTCTCTTTGAATTCTCTTTCAGTCATCAGATTCATCAAAGCACAGCCCAAGTTGCTTCCGCATGCTGTGTGCAGTTACACATTTCCACCAGAGGGGTCTCCAAATCCACAATCCTTACATAGTGCAGCTTTAATGCTGGTTAAAACCTTAACTAATTTGTTTGCTCAGAAAAGTAGCCAATCAGAGCAAAGACAAAATGATTATTGAGCGCAGCATCATCCAGTTCTTACAGTAAAGTGTAAACATTCACGCAAAGTAGGTAGGAGAACATTTCTCTGGTGACTGCTTTATTGATAATGGCTGACTGTCTCACTTTACATAACTGGGGTGCCAGAATGGGTGGCCATATGTCATGCTAGGGTGGAACCCCTTTGGCTATACCCCTGTTAACTAGGGTGGATCCCTTTGGCTATACCTCTGTTAACTAGGGTGGAACCCCTTTGGCTATACCTCTGTTAATTAGGGTGGAACCCCTTTGGCTATACCTCTGTTAACTAGGGTGGAACCCCTTTGGCTATACCCCTGTTAACTTGGGCGGAACCCCTTTGGCTATACCCCTGTTAACTAGGGTGGATCCCTTTGGCTATACCCCTGTTAACTAGGGTGGATCCCTTTGGCTATACCCCTGTTAACTAGGGTGGATCCCTTTGGCTACACCCCTGTTAATTAGTTTGTTTCTTTGACTGTCCCCTTGCCCAAAAGGGACAGTTTTATTGTTATATACTGAGTAGTATATACTTTAATTAATGTAGCTTTCCTATAATATTTAAATATAATTACATACAAATATCAGTAGGTTTAAATGAAAAGGATTTCCTCTTCTACTTGTGTGTGATATGGATTGAAAGTTTAGAATCTGCACTTTCAACAGAATTTATCTGCTTGTTGCAACGAGTTATGTAAAATTATTAACATAAAATGATGTCATGGTTTTATAATTTATTATTATCATCTGCTATAATTGTGGTTTCTACTTAATTGCTTTTATATTGAAATGGCAATTTGAAAGATTTGCAATTTGCAGTTTTCATATTGCAAGAATCGTATTCTACATTATTCAACGGTGTGTTAACAGGCTTTAAATGGAGACATTTTAAAAGTTTGTGAACTGGCAGTCTGGCAATGCGTTCAGCATTCAAGCCTCAAGCCTGAATAAATGGATGTGTTGGTGTTCTTGAAAAAAAAAACCAACCTGGTGTTTAATTTATAGAAAATAATTTGCAACAGCAATATTTGTCAGAAAAATCACAATGAGATACTTTCCCCAAATTGTTCCGCCTTACTTCTAAGGGTTAACATCATGTCATTTAGTGTAACTAAGCTTGTAAATGCCTTCACAGTGCCTTCATCACGTTGACGAAGCAGTTTCGCAACGAGATCAGATTAGGATTACACAGTAAAGCGAATATTCCTTTTAAGACTTTCAGTACTGCACAGTCAGCAGGAAAGACTCAAATCAAATATGGTTGTAAACTTTTGCGAATAAATCCTGTGAACATTCTCATGTGCAATAACATCACATTTACTGTGACTCACTGCATTTTTCTGGTTTATTTCACAGATAACGAGTACCTGCATAAGACGCAAGAGGGGTCGGTCTTACTATTTAACGTTTCTTCAGAGAACGGCCAGGAGTTTCTGAGCCGCCAGCTGTTTGTAAGATGTCCTAGATGATCATGTGGATGTATCAATGTGTGCTTAGTGATGTCTCTCTGCTAACACGCTGATCCCCTTGTCGTAGGATCGCGTCGAGGCCTTCGATTACATGGTGTCGGCCGATCGCAAGTTTGTCTGTTTTCTGAGTAACTACACGAAGGTGAGATATCCACAGCAGTAATGACCGATAAGTCTGTTTAGCTGTTACAGATGTTTACTTAAGCAGCTTTTGTCTTCCATCAGCTCTGGAGACACTCCTACACGGCCTCCTACTCCATCTACGACCGCGAGAGTGGGTCAGTAGTGTCCAGGAATCTCATTAACATTAGATCACATCACACTAATCATTATTATTTATAGAAGACATCAGTCGTTCTACTAATGGACACCGTATGTCCAAAAGATTGCAGACACCTACTCATCCCAAAGGTATTGGATGGAGCTCCATTACTCCAGAGGACGTAGTTCCAGTGCTGGGGGGGGCTTTATACCCCTCAAGCCAAAGCTTGGCATTTGGCCTGGTGTTCTTAGGCTCCATTGCCTTCCATTCTTCTGGTCAGCGCCTTCCTATAGAGATCATATAAACGTTGGGACAGTACGTGAAATGGCAATAAAAACAAAAAGCAACTAGTTAATTGTTAGTGTTTAACCTGCATTTCATTGATGGTACTAAAACACAATATTTGATGTTTACCTTATAAAACCTTTTGTTTTTTGTAAATATCCGCCAATTCCAAATATGATACCTGCAAACCGTTCCAAAGAATGCTGGGACAGGAGCATGTTTACCACTGTGTTACATCACCTTTCCTTTTACCAGCACTTAACAGTCATGACTAAAGACACAAGCTGGGAAGCAAAAATTCTGCCATTTTTCAGATACGCAAGGCTTCAGCTTGCGTATGAGGCCTTCGCTGTTGCATTTTGCATTTCATAATGCGCCACTTATTTTTAATAGAAAACCAGTCTAGCACCCTCATTCTCTGATTATGCAACCAGGCTGTCGTAACACGTCCAGAATGTTGAAATAAACATGGGCGTCTCTGAAAAATACAGAATCTAAATGGCAGCATATGTTGCTCTACAATATGTATATACGCTCACTGAGCACTTTATTAGGAACGCTATATTAATACTCAGTAGGGTCTCCCTTTGCTCTTAAAACAGCCTTAATTTTTTGTGGCAAGGATTCCACAAGATGGTCCACGTTGATGGGATTGCATCATACAATTCCTGCAGATTTTCCAGGTGCTCTTTCATGTGTGAATCTCCTGCACTAAAACATCCGAAAAGGTGTACCATTGGATTTGGATCTGGTGACTGGGAAGGCCACTAAAGAACACTGAACTCATTGTCATGTTCATGAAATCAGTTTGAGACCACTTCTGCTTTGTGACATGGTGCATTATCATGCTGGAAGTAGCCATTAGAAGCTGGTAAATTGTGGTCAGGAAGGGATGCGCATGGCCAGCAACGATACTCAAACAGGCTGTGGCATTCAAGCGATGATTCACTGGTATTATCAGTGTGCCAAGAAAACATTCCCTACACCAGGGGTATTTAATTAAAATTCAGTAAGGAATTTTCTCCAGTTAGAGAAAATTTCCTCAAGCAAAGGTCCAGAACATCATAATGTCTAACTTGCATCATGTCTCAGTGCCATATACTGTTTACTGAAGTAGCCTAGTAAGTATATCAACATCTTATACAGTCAACAACTGAATATCAAATCAAATAAAGTACAATTCAGTAACATTTCAACAACATTAATTGTCAGTTTTCTCTTTTTAGATCACGCCATGTAAAATAATCTGGCTCACTTTCTTCTCTGACTGCTGTTTCTCGCCTCGTCCCTCCCCTGTGTGTGTGTCACTCACTCGAGTCTCAGTGCTCATCGTAATGCACAGATCTGATGGGCTGAGTAGCATCACGTGATATTTACAACGTATGCGGTTGGTCTATGAGTTTCCCGGGCTGCTAAACTGGTACTGTAATTACTAGAAATGACACACCGATTAAAATAGGACCACCCAGTCGAAATTAAATACAGGTCCAGGTCCACATAGAACAGTGTCTGAGTCCGGACTTGGACCACGGTCCGCCTATTAGTGACCTCTGCCCCGCACCATTACACCACCTCCACCAGCCTGGACTGTTCACACAAGGCAGGTTGGGTCCGTGGATTCATGCTGTTGGTGTCAGACCCTGACATGGTCTTCTACTGTTGTAGCCCATCCTTCTCAAGGTTGGACATGTTGTTCATTCCGAGATGCTTTTCTGCTCAGCACAATTGTACAGAGTGGTTGTCTGAGTTAATATGGCCTTTCTGTCTGTTCAAACCAGTCTGGCCATTCTCCGCTGACCTCTCTCATCAACAAGGCATTTCTGTCTGCCAGAAATGGTGGCATTTCAGAACGTTGTTGACACACGACTTCCACTGTGCACAGAACAGTCTTAACCTGCATTTGTGGATGCAGTGACAAATGGTCATTCAGATGTGATTATTCCGAATTCCCTGAATCTTTTGATCATATTATGCACTGTATAGAGTGAAATACCTAAAATCCTTGCAAATACCCATTCAGCAATGTTGATCTTAAACAGTTGGACTGTTTGCTGATGCAGTTTTGGGCAAACCAGCTCACCTCAACCCATCCTTGCTCAACATCACGTCTTTTAAAATGTTTTCTTAACATTTAGCAACATTCCTAGTCTTAAATCAACCCCTTCCCAACTTTTTTGGAAAGTGTTGCCAGCATCAATTTCAGCATGAGTGTATATTTACAAAAAAACAATGAAGTTGATAAGCTAAAACACTACATATCTTGTCTTTGCACTGCTTTCGCTTAAATACAGGTCAAAGTAGATTCACAAATAATTTGCATTTCACATACTGTCCCAACTTTTTTGGAAAATGGTAAAGTAGCTGAATTTATTCATTAGAAGGGCTGTCTGGATACTTTTGGACATACAGTGTAGCATTTTTTAGGCAAAATGTATACAGTGATAAAAACAAATTAGACCTGAATTAGATCAGTTTGCTAAAAATGGCTGTAAAAATGCATGTTGTATTCTTATTTTTATGAACTAATCTTATGGCAATTAATAGCGCTTTCTTCTCCCTTTAGGACTTTTATTACTGCAGATATCCCACATGAGGTCCATTATCTGGCCTGGTCACCAACTGGCCACAAACTAGTAAGCATCACCTTTCAAATGATCATGTTTCTTTCAGTCATACCCAATGTACCGTGAAGGGAGAGCTCTAGGAAAAATCAAACCTATACACTTTTTTCTGAAATGTAGTTGACGAGCCGAGACGTGGTTGGTGTCTGAAGTTTGCTTCTTTAGTTTTAGCACTAGAGCTACAAGGCTAATGTAGCTAACATGTAATAGAAGTTAACGGGTAAGAACATTAGCATTGTGCTAATCATGAAACATCAGCCTCAAACCGTGTGGAGTTACTGAGAAATCTCTAATAGACTTGTTTATGTGGTTTCTGACACTGTATGATGTACTGTTATCTATAAAAATGGACAGAAGTATGCAATAGTGATGACCATTCTTATTTGGCTAATTTTGATATTTGAGGTCCTGTAAGGGCTGAAAACCGCAGGGAAGGAAAAAAACAGACTTCAGCCGACACTAACATAGTGCTGTAGGCAGAGAACTTGTAGAGATGAGAATTTCCACTCTGCAATGTCTTCCGGGTTTCTCAAACACTAGAGGGCGCTCCCGAGTGAGTCCAAAATGAATGGGTTGATATGGAGCATTTGAGCAAAATCATAGTTTATAAATGCTTAAACATTTTTAATGTAAAAGAATGTATTCATTTCCTGAACACAGAACAGCATAAAACATTTTAACACTGCTGTTATATTTTTAAGAGCTTTTAAACTCGAGTTATAGGAGTCTAAAACTGCACCCCATGTATGTGTATTATGTCTGTGGGCGTGAACAGCCAATGAGCTGCTCCGCTCGCCAATCAATCAGCACTCACTCAGCAGTAATGCCCGCCTTCTGCTGTCCAAAACCCGTTTGCTGTAGAAAAAAGGAAATATATGGGTAGGACTTCTTTGTTTTTTTAGTGAAATACATCCTTCTGCTTTCTAAAATTAAAGGAAAGTTCTGGTTCAGTGATTAGAAACTATTTAACTTTTTGTTTTTAGCCGTTGAGCTCCATTTACTCCCATTCATTGAGGACTCGCTCGCGGGCGCCCTCTGCTGTTCAGCAGTCCTGTTTTTGAAATAACGGTGGAAGTAGGAAGTGGCCAGACTCCCCATAAACCGGCTCTGCTGTAGGCTTACCTTTTTGGGTGAAAATGCTGGCTTTGCACAAAAACTTACCAATCACATAACAGAGGCGGCCTTTTCGGATGAGCTAACCTGCTAACAAAGCTAACTGGTACAACACTGAATGCTAATCAAAACCTCTTGCTCTTCTCCTCAGTGGACAATTAGCCAGCATGTTAGTTTCTCAGAGAAACTTATTTTCATTGTTTCAGGACTTAGCTGACATCAGCTAGTGTACCAGGCCTAGTTAGTGATGAAGCTGCTCAACATTAGCCTTCTCAATCATGTCCTTAACAGCGCCACACTCAGGCACTCACGTTTTCTAGCTGCAAAGTGTAGTATACATACTTATTCTCTAACGCGAGTGAACTTGCCATGTTTTACAGTTCTGTTAAACCATAAAGTTACCGTCTCACTGAACTGTTGGTCGGTGTGTGTTCTCCATCTTCCCATAATGAAACTGAATAGTGCCTGAATAGTGATTTCAGTATTCAAATACTGGCCCCTCAAACAGTTAACCGAGTACTTACGTACGTGTGCATATCCCTGAAATGTAACATAGCAGCCAACATTAGTAGCAGCCATCTTGAAGCCTGAATCTTGCCTTTACGTCATCCATACTGTGTTACATAACAGAGTTAGAAAAAACTATGTAATAATTTAGGGATTTAGTTAGCATGATGCTAATTGGTTAAGTGTAGGTTTCCATTTCTTTCCTATATTAACCTTGTAGCTCTTGTCCTTATTTATGTTACTTAACAGAGTAAGAAAAAACTGTGTAATTTAGGTATTTTTGGAAAGATGCTTGGTGGAGTGTAGGCTTCCGCTTCTTTAGCTTTCTAGCTCTTCCTTACTTTGTCCATACTGTGTTACTAACAGAGTAAGACAAACCTGTGTAATAATTTAGCATGATGCTAATTGGTGGAGTGTAGGCGTCTCCTTCTTTCCTGCATTAGCCTTGTAGCTCTTCTCCTTACGTTGGCTATACTTTGTTACTTAACAGAGTTAGGAAAAAACTGTAATAATGTAGGTGTTTTAGCATGATGCTAACTGGTGAAGTGTAGACTTCCACTTTTTTCCTACATTCGCTGTAGTTCTTGTCCTTACATTGTCCATTCTATGCTATTTAACAGAATAAAATAGTGTAAAGAAAAATAGTAAAAAAAAAAAATAGTGTAATTATTTAGGTATTCACATTAGCATGATGCTAATTGGTTCAGTGTAGGCTTCCACTTTTTTCCTACATTCGCCTCATAGTTTCAGTGCTAAATGCAAACTAAAAATGCAAACTAAAGACACTAAACATGGCTTGGCTACATTTGGGGTGAAAAGTTGATTATCAACTCAGTCTGATACTGTGTATGGGTAATAACATAAACTTGGCCTCATATTTTTCAGATTAGCATATTAGACTATTGGTAGATGTTTGTAGCAGAAATTCAGAACTCAGAAACCTAAAAGATACCACCGGTCAAGAAGACATTGCCTCGTGTGACCCATGTAACTTTATAGACTTAAACCGTAGTGTAAGTAAGGGTCAGATTAATATCTTTATCATGGTTCCACCCAAGAGGGTTATCTCACTTCGTGCTGGCGGTGCTTTATCTGCAGGCCTGTAATCGTTCCCATCTAGATTTATGTTTATAGTTCGCACTTGCAAGGTGCTGCGTAACTATTACTTTTAGCTACACAGCAACATGTACTTATGAGACTCAGACACTGACACGCACTGAATCATGCACTGTTGAAGGCAAATATTAATGCTACAAATCTTACATTGTTCTTGTATTTTTAATCAACTCAGGTCCACTTATAAAGTTTGTGTGATTTTATGTAGCAAAAACAGTCATAATTCATTTCTGCATGAACATTTTCCAAAGTCCTTTCACCCCCTTTAAAGGGGAATCCAACCAATTATTCAAATTTCTGCATAATTCAATGGTTTGGATGTGAACAAAGCCATTCAGAGTGACACACCAAACCACTCTGAATGACTCTGTTTACGTCATAACTGTTTGATTATTCAGAAATTTTGAAAATTGGAGGAGTTCTCCTTCAAGACTGATATATAAATGAGCACTGTTTTGATTGGTTGCCCTGTATTATGCCTCATTCAAAAAGCAGTCGGGCTGAAACACTCCTGAAACACTCACTTCAGTGTGAGTGGGCGGAGCCAAACTGCTGTAGGCGGAGCAGGTATATATATGTAGTAAAATAAATAGGTATATAAGTAAATGTGTTGTTTTTCGTGACATCACTTTTCACAAATGGACCGTGTGGACTGGAGAGTGAACTGTACTTTTTGAAACTTTTACAATGTTTACCAACAACATCAGACTCTATTATTTCATAATGGTCAGGAAAAATTAATTTCTCTATGATATGGGGAATTTAAAAAGATCTTGACTCAAAATAAGAGGCAGTTTATACTCATATCTTGTAGCTGGTGTTACAACCCTGTTCTCCTCTCTCTAAACCAGGCGTATGTGTGGATGTATAATGTGTATGTGAAGGACAGCCCCACCACACCATCGCAGCAAGTCACCTTCAACGGAGCTCATAATAAGATCCTGAATGGCATCCCTGACTGGGTGTATGAAGGTAAGAAACAGCTGACTATGTAAATCTATAGCAGGGAAACTGCAATGGTAGCGACATTGTATTGGGCATGGTGCTGGAACTGGTGTATCGATATGCAGCCAATGGTCAAACTGGAATTCCCTGAAGCTCATTGATGAAGGCTACCCAGACAGCACACAGTTTTGGGCCAATTCTGGCTTTCCTGTGTGAGTGCTGACTACCGGGTAGATGTCAGACATGCGGACCAGAATCCTGGACAGATCCTGGACAGCTTTATACCGTTTTTGCCTCGTGTCTACATTTGTGGGACAATTATGGCATCAATGTTGTGAACCAACCATGTAGTTGGGCCGGATTGGGGCCAGATTTGCATAAGTTGGCCATTTAGCTAAGCTAACGCCATTCTTCAGCGGCTTGCCACGGCATCAGATTTATTACGGCCACAAACGACAAGCCTCTCATTACCGAAAAACCGTCAGAGCGATGGAGCGCTACATGCAGTAAATGCAGTGTTTAAAGAAAAGAGGCACAACAACTTGAAAATGCTGGATAGCCTGTAGTTTGGATAGCAAGTATGCTAGGTAGCAGGCTACTTATAGCTAAATCTGCCAGCTAATCTACTTACAAGTCATATTTCATTAAAACTTACACTCTTAAAAAAGATGGTTCTTCAAGTGTTCTTTATTAAAGGAAATAGTTCTATTTAGAAGCATGAATGCTCAAAGAACCCTTTGCATGATTCTTTGCATCATAAAAAGGTTCTTCAGATGGATAGAGAATGTGCTCTAGATGGTTCTATATAGAACCTTTTTGGAAAGGGTTCTTCTATTGTAACGATGTCAGGTTGTAACAACCCTTTTTGATGCTATATAGAACCCTTTCCAAAAGGGTTTTATATAGAACCATCTACAGCACATTCTTCATCTGAAGAACCTCATTCTCCATCCGATTCCACCATATAAAGAACTCTTTAATCATGCAAAGGGTTCTTTGAGTGGCCATGGTTCTATATAGAATAGTTTTCTTTACTAAAGAACCCTTGAAGAACCATCTTTTTTAAGTGTGTACTTTTTAGCTGGATTAGTTGTGCTAGCTAGCTCACATGCTATAGAAACTACAGAATGCACAATGTTTCAAGCAAAGCTAAAAGCTGTTGGCTTATTGGAACTTTCTGGTCCACCTTAAATGGTGAACCAGTTACATTCTGATGCCAGAATGTAACTGCTGCACCATTTAAGGTGGAACTGAAAATTGGAAAAATAAGCTGGTGAATAAGAAACCCATTTCAGCCTTGTCCGTTTCAAGTTGTTTTGATTCTTTCCTTTAAATCCAGCATTTACCGCGTGTAGCGCTTCAGTTTTTCCCGTCAGGCTTGAGTTTTCTCTTTAATGAAAGGCTCGTTATTTGAAGCCGTGTTGAACCTGACAGGTTTGTAGAAGGGTTTCCTTTTATAAATGTGAGTCTTACAGCTAATAACGAGACCAAAGACTCATACTGGCATTACTTGACTGGTGAACAGCTCTCAACACAATTAAAGCCACTCATTCGCGTAGTGAAAACATTCGTTTATTCAGTGAGACTGTGGTCGTACCTGAATGTTACCAATAGAGGGTAATTTTTGGGAATGTAATTATGTATCATTTTAACAAACCTCTATATGATGTACATTTGTGTTGCTGTTGTGTGCAGAGGAGATGTTTTCCACAAACCGTGCTCTGTGGTGGTCACCAACGGGCAAGTACTTGGCCTTCGCTGAGTTCAACGACACCAACGTTCATACAATCGACTACTCGTGGTACGGAGATGGCCAGTACCCGGAGATGGTCATCATCCCATACCCCAAGGTCAGGCATGATAGTAGTGCTTCTGCACTGGACTGGAGTCAATTTCAATTCCAGCAAATAAACATTTATGCCTAATTGAGTGATTGAGATTGAGAGTGATTTAGAGTGGTTTGGTGTGAAATGGTTCAGATTTCTTTACAGTGGTGGTGATAGGAACCAGGCGTCGCCATGACTACAACATAAATATAGACATTTTATTCACTATCCAAAACCACCAGTGAACCTACACGAGTCTTCTGAGTTTATATGGAATGTTGATGATGGAAAATAGTCATAAATCTGAAATAATATGTTCTTTAGGGACTATTTTGCCTCACAACACCCTCAGTGTATCCCTCCACCATGAATGGATTTTGAAGAATGTGTTTTGAAACTATTGTAAAACGATGATTCAGGCAGCATATTCATATATTGTACACCATTTTGTGTAATAACTGTCTGCAAGGGTAGATTTTAGAGGCATTAAAGTCTTCAGACGTTTAGGGCCGCATTACAGAAATATCCTTACTCTGTTTAGTCACCATGACAACATCATTTAGCACAATAGCTTTACATATCCTACGTTCATCATCTTATCCTAGCTCCAGATAAGACAAGAGTACTACAGAGGCATCCTAACTAGACATAACCTCCTAAATACTGTCTCAACTTTAGGACGACCCAGAGAGTTTCCTAACTGCTGTTTCTGTGGTTGACCTCTCTGTTTAAATAGAATGCTCTTGATTTTAGGCAGTTGTCTCAGGCAGCAGAAGTTCAATAGCAAAAGTGATACTTCTTTGTATTTATACTGCAAGACTTGTTTCACTTGAGAGATTTGAACTCTGCAGCTGAAAAATCCCAGACAGTGCAGCCACATTCCCCCCGTTCACTCTCATTACCTGCTGGTGTTGATGTTGATAAGAACATGCCAAAGAAAATATTGCAGAGATATAAGCAGTGAATAAGGAGTCAGAGTTGAACATGTGGCTGTTTATTAGGAGAACTAACATAAGCATGCCTAGCAGCCCGGCTATATTTATTGATATGTTGTATCTTTAAAAGAAAGATAATCAGTACATGTTTATAAACTATTATAAAATCAGCACATGGCCTCTAAAGACGTTCTCTACCGAACTTTTTTACAAACACTGAAGTTCCTGCTAAAGCCTAAGTAGACTGATAAATCAATGTGATGATCAGTTATTAATCTCAGTGTCACTGAGCTCTGCTAAAGCCTGAGTAGACTGATAAATCAATGTGATCAGTTATTAATCTCAGAGTTACTGAGCTCTGCTAAAGCCTGAGTAGACTGATAAATCAATGTGATGATCAGTTATTAATCTCAGTGTCACTGAGCTCTGCTAAAGCCTGAGTAGCCTGATAAATCAATGTGATCAGTTATTAATCTCAGAGTTACTGAGCTCTGCTAAAGCCTGAGTAGACTGATAAATCAATGTGATCAGTTATTAATCTCAGTGTCACTGAGCTCTGCTAAAGCCTGAGTAGACTGATAAATCAATGTGATGATCAGTTATTAATCTCAGTGTTACTGAGCTCTGCTAAAGCCTGAGTAGACTGATAAATCAATGTGATGATCGGTTATTAATCTCAGTATTACTGAGCTCTGCTAAAGCCTGAGTAGACTGATAAATCAATGTGATCAGTTATTAATCTCAGTGTTACTGAGCTCTGCTAAAGCCTGAGTAGACTGATAAATCAATGTGATGATCGGTTATTAATATCTGTGTTACTGAGCTCTGCTAAAGCCTGAGTAGACTGATAAATCAATGTGGTGATCAGTTATTAATCTCAGTGTTACTGAGCTCTGCTAAAGCCTGAGTAGACTGATAAATCAATGTGATGATCAGTTATTAATCTCAGTATTACTGAGCTCTGCTAAAGCCTGAGTAGACTGATAAATCAATGTGATGATCAGTTATTAATCTCAGTGTTACTGAGCTCTGCTAAAGCCTGAGTAGACTGATAAATCAATGTTGTGTTTTATCCCGCAAGTTAATCCAGTCACTAAAGTAGCTTGTTCATTTGAGAAATATCGGCCTTTTCTATCTAAGAGCGACATGGAAAGACTTGTTGATGTGTTTGCTCAGCAGAGTTGATCACTGTAATGATCTTCTTACCTTTAGAAAACAGTCCATCCTCTACAGCTCATACAGAACACAGCAGTATGGATCCTCACAGCACCCACACAGAGAGCTCAAATCACCCCATATACACACTGCACTGACTGCCTGGATCTTTTAGAGAGAGTTTAAAGCTCTGCTGCTGGTTTTTAAAGCTCTAAATGACCTTAAAGCTCCTGAATGTCTGTCTGTGATCTTAGATCTGCAGATACTGACCTTCTGCAAACACCTTCTGTAAAGTACAGAAAACATGGAGAGACTCTTTCTGCTTCTAAACTGCAGAACTCAGTTCACCTTTTTTTACATTTACGGCATTTGGCAGACGCGCTTATCCAGAGCGACTTACAATTTGATCATTTTACACAGGTAGGCAAGGGTAGTGTTAGGAGTCTTGCCCAAGGACTTTTATTGGTATAGTGTAGGGCACTTATCCAGGCGGGGATTGAACCCCAGTCTACAGTGTAGAAGGCAGAGGTGTTACCTCTAGCATCTCGTTTGGAGTTTATCTTTTTACTTTGACCTGTGTCATCGCTTTATATGATATTAATTTTATACTCGCAATTTCTTCTATTGCTGTTAAGCTTTATCACTTGCCTGTAAAACACTTTGAGCTTCAACTGGTATGAAACATGCTCTATAAATGATATTACTAAATGTATTGTTATGAATAGTCAGTTCAATCATTTGCAATTAAATGCACTATACAATGTACAGATAATATACAGACAATACACAGTATACAATATACACAGTATACAAGTAATATAGAGACAATATATGGACAATTATACAACAGTTAGGTAGCCATGCAAGCCTATTGGTTGAGAAGTGTTCTAACCGTGCTGTTATTTCACCATAACATCACGGTTTCTATCACTCGCTGAGACATTGTTGCAAAGCAACGAGTTTGACAGCTGTAGGAGATGCTCAAGCCATTTAAACGTTTTTATTTCTTACTCTGCCACAAACTGAAAATGGACACTTTTAAGATCACGTTTGACCAACAGCCGATTTGGTCAGACTCTGAAGATGAGACGACACTAAATTCCCAAACTGTCGTCACCACTGAGCAGCTTTTCAGTCGGCAGCTGTGACAGAAGAACAGCTAAACAACCTGGAATCAGCCAGAAATGAACCCAACACCATTCGCCAAACTAAATGGGCTGTAAGATGCTTTACAGACTGGCTGGAACAAAACAACATTAATACTGATCTGGCAAAAACTGACAAAACTGAGCTAAACTTGATATTGCGGCAGTTTTATGGCTCAGTCTGATTTAGTCAGACTCTGAAGATCAGACTACATGTTTGGTGAACGGTGTTGGGTTCATTTCTGGCTGATTCCAGGTTGTTTAGCTGTTCTTCTGTCACAGCTGCCGACTGAAAAGCTGCTCAGTGGTGATGACAGTTTGGGAATTTAGTGTAAGGAGCAGGAGAACGAACTGCCGGCTGTGCAGCGAGTGGGCGGAGCTTGTTACTCTGACGTAGCAACAAGCTGCTTGTTAAGGAACTATAATTTGGCTGAAGGAACTGCGAACATTAAAACATATTAAACGCCCAGTTTATTTATTTATTACTTAATTTATTTAACTGTTGTATAAAAGCAATAGAACACTCGAGGAGTGTGTTATCGCCAATACCATCACGGCTGTGATGATCTACTGCGACCAAATCACAGCCGTGATGTTATTTCGCGATAACGCACTCCCTCTGTGTTCTATTGCTTAAGTAATATACAGACAATGTACATATTACTTACAGACAGTACACAATATACAAGCAACATACAGATACAGAAGCAGGCAATATACATAAGTGTGTGTGGTGGTGCAAACAACATCAATCTACATCATGTATGAGAATGAAAATGTGGTGCACAGTGGTATGAAGTAGTATGATGTGAGTCTGAAGCAGGGTGTGGTAACTATCTGGAGAAAAAAAGTGTAGTGAAACTGAGTTGGTGTGGAGGTCAGAGCTAGTGCTGGTGTTGTTTCAGAAACTGTGGTCTTTATCGCTGGCATGCTCTATTTCCATGATAGTCCACACTTCCTCTTTCACGAAAAAGAAACAGCCACAAAGTAGTGCAAATAAACAGAGCTCTGGCAGGGAAAATGCCTGTGCCAAACATATTTCTTCACTCTGAACAACAGGCGTTTTGTGTTTCCAGGCAGGAACGCCGAACCCGACTGTGCGCCTGTTCGTGGCTGATGCCACTAATGTGTCCAGAATTACGGAGGTCGTGGTGCCAAGCGCTGTTGGGGAACGGTAAATATGACCCAAAATACATGCACTTTTCCCAAACTGTGGTTGTGAAACTGGTGTTTACTGGAAGCCTCCTGATGAACAATCTCCATTGACAGCATGACTAGACTCTGAGGCCTACATGAGCTTTCCTCTGAATCCTGCCCTGTTTTCTCCAGAGAGCACTACCTGAGCACCGTCACTTGGGCAACGGACGAGAGAATCGCAGTTCAGTGGCAAAACAGGACCCAAAGCTATGTGACTCTGCAGCTGTACGAACTCAACGGCGACACCTGGAGAGAAACCACGGTACGTACCCTCCATCCACATCCTTTTACCTTACTATTAGATAAAAATAAAAAGATCCTCCTTTGCAGTAAAATAAAGCTCTGCTGATCGTTCAACACAGTTTAACAATAAATGGTCTTAAACTCTGGAGTTAATGTAGAACTGCTAATTCACCCTTTAACCCTGAAGGTTGGTACGCAGACTGTTGGTCACCAGAGTAATGCAGACAACAGTCTCGTCTAGCTAGTAGCTAACGTAACGGCAAAAAGAAAGATTTAAGACAAACATCGAGAATTCAGAGACAAATGGACTTATTTGTGTTTATAATCACTCCAGCTGCTTTCCTGATACGTTTAATCTGCAATTAGAAACTGTCAAACACTAAAAAGTCGTGAAGCTGAAGTCAGTTTCTCATTCGCCAGCTTCTTGTTTGAATTGTCCTGTTCCATCTTAAATGGTGCAGCAGGTACATTCTGGCACCTCAGGCAACATTTAAGGTGGAACGGCAGAATTCAGACAAGAAGCTGGTGAATGAGAAGCGACTTCAGCCTCGTAAAAAGTCAAATGTTGAGAGACATTTTCCAAGAAACTGATCTACTTTTGCAGAAAAAGTTTCCTGCTGGCGATGTGAGAAAAGCAGCTATAGCTGAGCTAAAGCTTAAAGCAGAGCAAAGCAAGTCTGATTTTTGTTGAAGGGACAAAATGGCTCTTCTTAACATTTGGGTTGCTGACCCCTGTTATAGGGACTATAGCGAGAACAGTGAGCTCATTTGCATATACAGAGAGCTCATTTGCATACACAATGAGCTCATTTGCATATACAGTCATATGCCCTGGTCAAAAGACATGTTTTGTTGATTTACAACAATTTTCTGAAACTAATTATACAACTTTTTGTGCATTTTATGTTTTGTTTTTTTATGATGTCATTATTTTATATTCTTGTGCCATGTTTTGAACAGTTCTGACACTCAAACCATCTTAAATGTTTAATTATGCCAAATTTTGAAAGATTGGTGGAATTCCACTTTAAATTAAGCAGCTTGTATTTGCTTTGTTTATTGTGCCTTTTTTCAGGGAATAAATGTGTCGAGCAGCACAGGCTGGGTCGGCCGGGTACGTATCTCTCTCTCTCTCTTTCTCTCTCTCTCTCTCTCTCTCTCTCTCTCTCTCTCTCTCACTACAAAATTGCCAGTAACAGCCATCAATATTTTTGGTTTTGCATGTATCTCCTTTCTCTGTTCCAGTTTTCCCCAGATGATCCCGTCTTCCACCCAAGCGGCTCCACCTTTTACTATGTCAAGAGCGACACGAACGGCTTTAAGCACATTCATCACGTCACCGGAGTGAGTTACTTTTTTACTGACGCTCCATTAACGCGTTTAAAGCTCTCATAACCATAAATACCTCCAACAAACCACAGTAAGTGTCATTTATAGCAGCGGAAAATCTGTATGATGTCCAGATAACAAGTGACGGTTCTCATGACCAAGGTTAAAGGGCAGAGATATGACTTACAGGTTTATTATTGATCAGATTTACACCTCCGTGTTTCTACACTCTCTGTCCATTTTATCAGCTCCATTGACCATATTGGAGCACTTCGTAGTTCTACAGTTACAGACTGTAGTCCATCTGTTTCTCTGCACCCTGTTCTTCAATGGTCAGGACGCCCACAGAGCAGGTATTATGTGGGTGGTGGGTCATTTTAAACACTGGATGTGGTGGTGTGTTAGTGTGTGTTGCGCTGGTCTGAGTGGATCAGACACAGCAGTGCCGGAGTTTTTCAAACACCTCAGTGTCACAGCGGGACTGAGAACCAACCAGCAACATCCTGTGGGCAGCTTCCTGTGACCACTGATGAAGGACTAGAGAATGACCAACACAAACTGTGCAGCAGCAGATGAGCTATCGTCTCTGACTTTACATCTACAAGGTGGACTGACAAGGTAGGAGTGTCTAATAGAGTGGACAGTGAGTGGACACAGTGTTTAAAAACTCCAGCAGCACTGCTGTGTCTGATCCACTCGCACCAGCGCAATGCTCACTAACACACCACCACCACGTCAGTGTTACTGCAGTGCTGAGAATGATCCACCACCCAAATAGTACCTGCTCTGTGAGGGTCCATGGGGGTCCTGACCACTGAAGAACAGGGTAACAAAGTATGCAGAGAAACAGATGGACTACAGTCTGTAACTGTAGAACTACAGAGTGAAACTATACGGTCAGCAGAGCTGATAAAATCAACATAGGATGTAGAAACAAGGAGGCGTACTTAATACTTAATGAAGTGGGCAGTCAGTGTATGTGAACTGAATTCCAGCAGTAGTACAAGCATGTGTTTATTGCTGTGAAGAATGAATAACAAACTTCAGCATTTACTGGCATGTTTGGACATTACTGCACTTGTTTAGCCATTTATAAGAATTTATTTACACACGTTGCCAAAAAACATCCATTTTTTTTTTCAGAACACTATAACACCTGTAACATCTGGCCAATGGGAGGTCATCAGCATTCTCAAGGTGACCACAAATGCAATGTAAGTTCCAAAAAAGTTGGGATGCTGTGTAAAATGTAAATAAATGTAAATAAAAACAGAAGGCAATGATTTGCAAATCTCATAGACCCATATTTTATTCACAATAGCACACAGAACACAGTTCAGAATGTTGAAAGTAAGACAACTCATTTAGAACTTGATGGCAGCAACACCTCTCAAAAAAGTTGGGACAGCTTCTAAAAATTGTGAAACAATTCCAGAAAAATGTTCCTCAATGTAAAATTATGAACACTTTAGATTTCCCACCATCTACAGTACACAATATCATCAAAAGACTTGGAGAAATCCCTGTATGCAAGGGTCAACGTAGACGGTCAATACTGGATGCTTGTGATCTTCGAGCCCTCAGGCAGCACAGCATTAAAACCAGGCATGATTCTGTACTGGAAATCACTGCATGGGCTCAGAAACAGTTCCAGAAATCACTGTCTGTGAACACAGTTTACCATGCAATTCACAAATGCAAGTTAAAGCTGTGTCATGCAAAAAAGAAGCCATATGTTAACACGATCCAGAAACGCTGCCGTCTTCTCTGGGCCAAAGCTCATTTAAAATGGACTGAGGCAAAATTGAAAACTGGTCTGTGGTCAAATTAATCAAAATTTGAAATTCTTTTTGGAAACCATGGACGCCGTGTTCTTTACGGACAGTTCATAAGCCTGCATTTCTGATGGTCTGGGGCTGCATTAGTGCCTATGGCATGGGCAGCTTACACATCTGGAAAGGCTCTATCAATGCTGAACAGCATATAGAGGTTTTAGAACAACATATGCTCCCATCCAGACAGCGTCTCTTTCAGGGAAGGCCTTGCATATTTCTGCAAGACAATGCTAAACCACACACTGCATCATCACAACAGCATGGCTTCACAAAAGAAGAGCCTGGGTGCTGAACTGACCGGCCTGCAGTCCAGATCTTTCACCAATAGAAAACATTTGGTGCATCATGAAACAAAAAATCCAGCAAAGAAGACCCAGAACTGTTGAGCAGCCAGAATCCTACATCAGACAAGAATGGGACAACATTCCTCTCCCAAAACTCCAGCAACTGGTCTCCTCACTTCCCAGATGTTTACAGACTGCTGTTAAAGAAGAGGAGGTGCTACACAATGGTAGACACGGCCCTGTCCCAATTTTTTGAGATATGTTGCTGCCATCAAAATGAGTTAATGTTTTCATGAAATGGTAAAATGTCTCACTTTCAACATCTGATATGTGTTCTAAACGCACTCAGTGATTGTGTATTAAAATGTGCAGAAGTGTATTTTAGTAGAGGACGTTTTCACTTATTTACACTTGCAGTGCTGTGTTCTAATATGCTAACCTGTCATTTATGCACGTGTTTTATATTTATGTTTATGTCCCTACAGATATTATGTGAGTAACGAGCACAACGGCAGTCCAGGACAGAGGAATGTTTACAGGTGAGTTACTACAAGTGTTCATTTACTCACTTATCTGTAAATCGATCCACAGATTGTTACAGTTTCAGTCCTTATAGGAAAGTCTGTCCACTCTGTGGTCATCTTGGCTTTGTTTATTTGCGTCTCCCAGTAATGGAAGAATGCGAGGGTTTAGCTAGGTCCAGCTAGGTCTCCTCCAACTCAGGATGCTGAGGAGGTTCATTCCTAACACAGTCTAAAAATATGGCCGATGTTTAGATGGTTGTTATATGATTACAACATAAATTAATTCTGATAAAAAATTTTTAAAAGCGTTAAAAATCAAATAACTCTATGAATAGGTGAATAAATTGACCCCACCACTGGTGTTTCACCATAGTGTCCTCATTAACCAACGTAAACTTATGAATAAATGTGCACTTGAAAATATGACATTATGACCACCTCCTTGTTTCCACGCTCATTGTCCATTTTATCAGCTCCACTTACTATATAGTGGTCAGGACCCCCATGGTCCCTCACAGAGCAGGTACTATTTTGGTGGTGGGTCATTCTCAGCACTGCAGTAACACTGATGTGGTGGTGGTGTGTTAGTGTGTGTTGTGCTGGTCTGAGTGGATCAGACACAGCAGTGCTGCTGGAGTTTTTAAGCACCTCAGTGTCACTGCTGGACTGAGAATAGTCCACCAACCAAAAATATCCAACAACGTCCTGTGGACAGCGTCCTGTGACCACTGATGAAGGACTAGAGGATGACCAACACAAACTGTTCAGCAGCAGATGAGCTATCGTCTCTGACTTTACATCAACAAGGTGGACTGACAAGGTAGGAGTGTCTAATAGAGTGGACAGTGAGTGGACACAGTGTTTAAAAACTCCAGCAGCACGGCTGTGTCTGATCCACTCGCACCAGCACAACACGCACTAACACACCACCACCACGTCAGTGTTACTGCAGTGCTGAGAATGACCCTCCACCCAAATAGTACCTGCTCTGTAAGGGTCCATGGGGGTCCTGACCACTGAAGAAGAGGGTAAAAGGGGGCTAACAAAGTATGCAGAGAAACAGATGGACTACAGTCTGTAACTGTAGAACTACAAAGTGCACCTATATAGTAAGTGGAGCTGATAAAATGGACAATGAGCGTAGAAACAAGGAGGTGGTCATAATGTTATGGCTGACCGGTGTACTAACGTTTTATGCATGTGCTTTTTTTCCTTTCATCCTGCAGAATCTCTATCGAAGACTCCACTCATTCTCAGCCTGTCTGTCTCACCTGTACTGTGAATGAGGACAGGTGTCAATATAACTCCGCCTACTTCAGCACTGAAGGCACCTACTACAGAATGGACTGTTCAGGTAAGAGATGAGGCCTCCATACAGTCATATCTCTCACAGACCTGCAGTTTAATGAAAAGGCCATGATCGTAAAATGATATTGACACATCTAAATACATAAACTGAGTATTTGTAACACCAGTGAGCTTAAAAGTGATCGTCATCTTATCACACATTTGCCTGAAATTATGTCAAATTGTTTTTGACGTTGTATGACGTCTACAAAAATGACCAAATTATCTATTTCATAGCTAACAGTATGTCCACACATAAAAAAGGTGGTTCTTCAAGGGTTCTTTAGTAAAGAAAATGATTCTATATAGAACCACAAACTCTCAAAGAACCATTTGCATGATTAAAGGTTTCTTTGCCATGTGAAATGGTTCTTCAGATTGATGGACAGTGTGTTTATATGGTACTATATATAGAGTCTTTTTGAAAAGGGTTCTTTATAGCACCAAAAAGGGTTCTTCTATTGTTACAGGCTTGACATCATAACCGTAGAAGAACCCTTTTAGGTGCTATGTAGAACCCTTTTCAAAAAGACTCTATATAGTATCATACACTCTTAAAAAAGATGGTTTTTCAAGGGTTCTTTAGTAAAGAAAATGGTTCTATATAGAGCCATAAACACTAAAAGAACCCTTTGCATGATTAATTGGTTCTTTGCATGATGAAAGTATTCTTTAGATTGATGGAGAGGGCCTTTTTGGTGCTCTTTAGAACCCATCTCAAAAAGATGCTATTTAGAATCATCTACAGTGCAATTTTCATTGATCTGAAGAACCATTTCATGATGCAAAGAACCCTTTAATCACACAAAGGTTTCTTTGAATGTGAATGGTTCTAGATAGAAACACTTTCTTTGCCAAAGAACCCTTGCAGAGCCATCTTTTTTAAGTATGTATAAAACACACTCTCCATCAATCTGAAGAACCATTTCAAGATGCAAAGAACCCCTTAATCATGCAAAGGGTTCTCTTCTATATAGAATCATTTTCTTTACTAAAGAACCCTTGAAGAACCGTCTTTTTTAAGAGCGTACTGTAACAACTTAATGTAGTTTGAGGCAAGTGTGGTGAATTAGGTGTGCAGTTAGCAATGCTAATTGGAGGCTATAAGCTTCCATGACTCGTTAGCTACATTAGCCTCATTAGCTCTGGTGCAAAAAGAAGTAAATTTAATGTTCTGTCAGTTTAATACAAGCTTAAAGTGCCGCCACAGAGTTTCTGCCAAACTATAAAGTTCCACGTTCCATAAAACATAATGATCATAACATCATAAACATTCACAGATGATCAAACGGCATGCACATCACTTCCTGTTTGTTTGTTTGTTTGTTTAGGTCCAGGGCTTCCTTTGTACACTCTGAGAGACAGTCGAGGTGCTGGTTCAGGTACTAGCTAAACATCCAGCAAACACACTGCACACATATACATACACTGCAGGGCTGAGGTGACGACTCATACAGCAGTGCTGGGGTCAGTTCACTCATTTTGGACTAGAGGTGGACGATAGGGCAAAAATATTGCGATACTTCAAGAAATTTTCACGATACACGATCAGTCACAATATTTTTTCGGACATCTGATCAGCAAATGACTATAAATGCATACCTTATACAGACAACTCAATGTTTTCATTAATATAAAACCAGTTTTATTGCACAAAATACTTCCATTCTCTATATATATTGAAGCTATGAAAAATGAAGCGACGTTCTCCGAATGATCAGTAGAGCTCAGAGAAAGCTGTAGAACATCAGGAATAAAGTCATGCTAAAATTAGCATCTAGGACGCCTTCTATTTTAAGTGTGATTTAATTTTGAGGCAGATAACTTATCAAGAAATTACTTAGGGGTGGGCGATAAGGCAAAAATACAATATGGCAATACTTCAAGAAATTTTCACGATAAACGATACATCATGAAATTAAATTTTTCTGACATCTTATCCAGTTGGAACGGAGAAAAAAGAAACAGTAGTGCTACGGTTTAAAAAATAGTATCTTAAATTGTTAGCAGAATGATTTTTGTTCAATATATTGGCACTAAATCCAGTTAAACTGGACTCATTTTGCTCCGTTTATAATGAAACATGCAGTTTTTCACTGTTCTTCAAGTACTGACGATATACGAAATATAGTCAGAAGAGCATATTGTATTGTATTGTGACATAGTTTATCACAATAATGATAAATATTGTCATATCGCCCAGCCCTACTTTAGACAGATTTTACAAAAATTGAATTACAAGATGAATCATTGGAATTAATGCAGTCACATTAGACTAGCAGTTTGTTGTCGCCTTACGAAACAGGCGTGATTGGAAGTTTAGCGATGGGAATAAATCCTCCATATATTTGGTAAACTTAAACAGTAACAACACAAAAGTGAACATAAATATATATCAGAAAACTATTCACTTCAGCATGGCGCTGCACACAGAGTCGTACCGAAAGAATGGAGAAAACCTCCTGGTCGGTGACCGTTGAGTGACTCGTGAGCAGCCAAGCAACCAATCTGGCTAACTCGCCTACCATAAACAGTAAAACCACAAAAGTGAATATAATTATATGTGATAACTATATACCAGTCACAGCTGAGTGCTGCACACTGATCTGTAGCAAAAAGCTGCGAGTGAGGAGATGTGTGCAGCTGGAGTTAGCCATGGAGCCAACATCGCAGTTAACAACAAAAGTCAAGATAATAATTCAGTCTCCTCACTGACTACATACAGTACAACCTCTTTTTATCAGTTTATTTATATGGTAAAACTGCTTAAACTGTGGTTGAATCAGTATTTTGGAGGTTCAAGCGCTATGAAGGTCAATGCAGCCATAGCAGAAGCAATATTGTAGAGGGCACAATCTTGCATCATAGTTCACCAAAAGTTAAACCTGACGTGAAATTTCTTTGACCTGGACGTGAAATTATGCTTGCAAATGCGTTTCGTCTGGGCCTGTCCTGACTGAATTACTGTTAAATAGAACAGCTATGCTTGAATATATTAGATACATAAAAGCAGATCCAAAAAATCTTGAAACTGACTGACTGGTATTTGTTGTTTTCAGAGATCAGAGTTCTGGAGGACAATAAAAATCTAGACTCCATTCTCCAGGACATCGCCATGCCCACCGTCACACATGGCACTATGAAGATCGGCGAGTTTGGTGAGGCCACATGCAGATAAGGTGCTTTCGGCTGTGTCTGTGCTGTGCATTAAATGGTTTTGTGCATATGTTGATGCTGTAAACTGCATGTTTTCTCAGAGCTGTGGTACCAGATGATCCTTCCACCCAACTTTGACAAGTCGAAAAAATACCCTCTGCTTATTGACGTGTAAGGATTTTTACATTCTTTTTCGAATCCACGTCTAAACTATTATTCACAAGTGGCTGAACAGAAAAGCAAACTGCGGAAGTCGGAGGTGCGCCGTAATACGATAAAGAGTTCAGTTTCAGGTACTTTTGAGCTTAATTTCAAAGCAGCTGTGATGATCTATGGCGACCAAATCGCAGCCGTGATGTTATTTCGCGATAACACACTCCCACTCGTGTTCTACTGCTTAAGTAAAGTATGGTGTAATATCATGTCATTTGCTTGGCGTCAGTGAAACCATAGCAACCAAAGGTCAGCTTGAATTCAGAAACAAGTGATGAGTGACCACTGCTGGTGTAAAACAGGGTAATAACTTCAACCGTAATATCGAATGAATGCATACATGGCCCACTACTGCTTGAGACTTACTAACCTGACATGGTTTGAGGCTCGTTTGAGATGATTTAGTCATTCAGTTCGCCCAGTGTTTATTGATGGGGTTTACATATAAGCTTTAAGTAGAACCCAGAGTTATAACCCAGGAATCTAGCTTGGTTGTTCACCCCTCTCATGGTCAGATCTGGTCAAATATGTTGTACTGTCTCCAGCTATGCCGGGCCATGCAGTCAGAAGTCAGACTTCCGCTTCCGGATTAACTGGTCCACGTACCTGGCCAGCACGGAGAATGTCATCGTGGCCAGCTTCGACGGCAGAGGGAGCGGTTACCAAGGAGACAAGATAATGCACTCCATTTACAAGCGTCTGGGCACTTACGAGGTGGAGGACCAGATCACTGCTGCCAGGTAAATACCCCCACGACACCTGCCGGGAATGAGGCTTTAAAGTCCCGAAACAGCTGAGTAACGTTTTACATCAAACCTCCAGAACAGATGTGTCAGACTTTAAAAGGACCTCCCGCGTAGGAGGGCCACAGCGCTGCTGATCTCATGACTTTCCAGAACCCACCTGACTGGCTGTTAACATGTTTTATGAATCCCACTGTTTACGTATGAAACGGTGCTCCAGTTAGCCAGATAGGTCACTTCACCTGTAAACTGTCAGGTGTTGAAGAGCTCAGTCCTGACGTTATGCAGCAGCATAATCACTGTATTTTCAGAGATAAGTGGGTCAAAGGCCCTGTGCTATGTTCAGTAAAGCCTGGCGCCCTGAACCCTGTGGTCATCCTCAAAGGCCACACTCAGACCTGTAGGGCATGTGCTTTGTTTAAATGTGCATTCAGCACATTGTGAGATGTACAGGCTCTGTATGCGACGCACTCGATGCATCGGTCCCGTTTTTCTTTTTGCTTAATGAGCTACTTTGCTTATAGACCACTGTAGTCTTGCGTCATTCTGTAGTCCTCGTTATGCCCATATTAGGAACTCCGGGTCTGAGCTCCATTTCTCTATGGCCAGAATGAATACCGTTTTGGAAAAACCACCTCTGTCGCCCTCTGTGTTAAATAAAAATCTTCAGAACCCGACATGTTCTGTCCTGTGAACATTTTTCTCCCGAATACCACTGGATCCTCTGAATTATGAGGTTGTTAAAGAGCTATAATACTAATATTACTACATGCGAGCTAAAGCTACTGCACATCAATTTGACGTCACTAAGCTACACACTGCCGGTATGATATTTTGATAGGCTAAAAACTCCTTATTAAAATACTACCCCTGTTAAACTGTGAGGCTGAATTTAGCTTCTTTTTTCGCAGCTTCTTGTTTGAATGTTCCCGTTCCACCTTAAATGGTGCAGCAGCTGTGACTAGCTATTACAGACATTAGCAAACAAGACAAAAAACTGACCTGTTGGTGTGAAACAGCAAAAATAAGTTAATGTTACTCTGTTAAGCAAAAATAGAGAAGCTTCCTCATATCAGGCCTTTCAACCCTCCGTGAAGCTGAAGTCGGCTTCTTTTTTGCCGGCTGCTTGTTCGAATTTTCCCATTCCACCTTAAATGGCGCAGTAGTTCAGAACGTAACTGCTGCACCATTTAAGGCGGAACGGGAAAAGTCGAACAAAAAGCTGGGGAATGTCCTGAGAAAATGTCCCCAGAAAAATGTTACCAGCATTAAAATAATAACGAGGATATTCTGAGCCTAAATCAGTTTATCAGGGTGAGCAGTGATATTAAGCTGAGTCTGTACTGGATCAGCCTGACTGCAGGAACGTTTGTAGATCTTTTCAAATCAAGCTAAAAGGAAAGATCTGTCGTGTTTCAGTGAGAATCAGATGAAGAACAGAGAACTGCAGGGAAACCTGACTCCTTTCATCTGCCCTCAGTCTGAACATGGAAATGTACACTGACAAAACCTGCTTAAGGAGGCTGCCAGTCTAATGACTTGAAATCAGTGTGCAGTAGCTTTAGCTTACATGTAGCAATATTCATATTTCAACTCTTTAATGTCATCGTAATTCAGAGGATCCAGCGTTAGAGGCGATTTTTCGAAAACCCTATTCACTACAAAATGACAGCACGACTACAGTCTTCTTCTTCTACGGTCAGGATGACATTCATAATGCATTTTCACTCAGTATCTTCTGAATATCTTCCTTTCCACCAAGCCGGTCAGACAGCTGTGAACAAAACCATCCACACTGTTTTGTTTTTGCTTGTCTCTCTTGGAATTTTGAGTAGTAGGCCACTGCTGAGTCTGTGTCGCTGCAGTCTACAGTAAGGGCGTGTAGAGGGCGCTCCTGAGTACCTCTGAGAAGTGGAACATTTGGGACTGGGACAAAGAGAGGGTCTGAACAAATTTGGCCACCCTTTATCGCCCTCTGTGGGTCAATTAGGAGCAATACAGACATGAACTCAGTCCCTTTTAGTTCAGTTCAATTCAACCCAGTTTAATTCAAGTTCATCCTTATTATACACACACACAAGTGTACAGTGTCACGCTAATGTCACATTGTGTCCTCATTTGTAGACATTTCATCAGTTTGGGCTACGTGGATAAAGAGAAAATGGCGATCTGGGGTTGGGTAAGTCTATTTTTTAAATTACGGTGCGTGTCCACTTGTTGCATCCGATTCATTTCAGTGGAGAGCTCTGCACTTTGGGCAGTGCACGATGGGTTGTGGTGCAGTGATTTCAACTTAATGCAAATGAGACCAGCCACTACATAGCTGCCTTTAGCCATTTAGAGAAGAGAAGACAGGTCTTGGTCAAGAACGGTAAACTCTTTCTCCGAAAGTAGTGAGGGGTGATGTTTTTTCTCTCCTTTGAATCCATGACGTAAATAACAAGCCACGTTTACAGGCAGCCTGATAATCCGTTAATAATCCAACTGATAGCTCAATCTGAATAGAATATGTCCATGTAAACACCTTAATCAGAATATACGAGTCTGATTGAGATCATTCAGACTACACTTTCAATCCAATTAATCTAGGTGGGTAATCCTGTAAATAATCCGTTAAATAGAAGAATAATATCCGTGTAAACGCCTGTATCTGATTACATTCCCTATCAGAAAGTTTAAGTCCGGTCTGATCATGTTCGTCGCGTCACAGTGAAAGTTTATACCGTTCAACATGGCGGAGCAGAAACTGGTCTGCAGAGGAGACGAAGTTTCTGCTCTGATCTTTAAAAGACGGCGGTGGGACGGACGTCCAGCTTATGTGTCTCAGAACACGACGTCTTCCTCTCGGCCTTCTTTAATAAGGACATGTGAAGGATGTTTTCCTGAGTCTGACATCATTTTAAAGCAATTAAAAACACAAGCGCTGCTCACTGCTGCTCATCTCACTCTGACTGGACTCACGTGATGCTCGCTAGAGAGTTTACAGCTGCTGAAGTTGCTGAAGCGGTTTTGGAAAGAAGTGATGAAGATAATGGATCATTTTGATATGAAACATAAGGATCATGTTATATGAAGAGCCTTTAAAGGAGGATTTAAGAAGATTTGGAAGCAACTAAAATAACTTTTCCATGCTTTTTCAGTGTGTTGCACATTATTAACAACATTGGCTCTGTATAGTAGTAACATTTTGGACCTATATAGAGCCAGTTTTCAAAAAATCTTTAAAAATCTATATACAACAGTGCTTTTAAAGGAGAACTTAAGAAGATAAGCACAGATCGAGAAAATGCCATCAGACCCCTGAGGGTTAATGCAAAATTGCTGTTTATTTTTAATATATTGGGGGAAAAAATAAAACGCAAAATTGTGCACACATTATATGTAATTTTTTCAACAAGTTTAACTTAACTCAAAAAAAATTAAATTGTGCATAAAAAATTTGCAGGAAAATGCCATGTTTAAGTGTTTTGAAAATCTACAAAACATGTAATTGGACGGGGGGTGTAATGACCTAGAAATGGCCACCAGCGACCCGGCTCGCTGGACGCGTTGCACTAGCATGTATTAAATTGATTTACAATAATGGTGTGACTATATTGGTGTGATTTTATTGATATAACTCTATTTCAGTCATATGGTGGCTATGTCACCTCCATGGTTCTGGGAGCAGGCAGCGGAGTCTTCAAGTGCGGCATGGCCGTCGCTCCGGTGTCTAAATGGGAATATTACGGTATTGAAATAGTCCCGAGTGGCTCCATTGAGTTTTTACATGCACGTACATTTGTTCTATTTCCTTTAGTCATAAGTTACAGAACACTGTTTGTTGTTTGTATAGATTAAGGAAAGTCCATTTCTTTTTCTTTCACAGATACTATTTACACAGAGCGCTACATGCTGACTCCAGCGGAAAACCAGGCCTTTTATGACGTAAGTGAGCTCAGCGCATTACGCCTGTGAGGCTCTAATCTTGTTCCAAATGCAGTGGGTTTCCCAAAATGACTTGATGAGGAGCATGAGTCAGCTCTATGAGCGATCTGCCCCGATTTACGAGTGTGCAGTTTTGGAAGCTACGTAAAAGTTGTTTGAGGAAATTGTGCAATCTGTGCAGAACTCCACGGTGACGGGCCGAGCCAAGAATTTCAAGAGCGTTCAGTACCTGCTGGTGCACGGCACCGCGGACGGTGAGGCTTCTGTTCTAACTCACTCACGCATGTAGATGCAGAGGCACTTGCTTGCACGCTGAATGCATCTCTCTCTCTCTCTCTCTCTCTCTCTCTCTCTCTCTCTCTCTCTCTCTGTGTCTCTCTCTCTCACTGTTCCAAACATGCCATTCTTGTTGCAAGCCTAAATTAAGATTATTTTATTTATTTTTAGGCACTATTTCCTTGTTTTAGGTAATCTATTAAGTAAAATTATCTCACTATGCTGGCAGATAATTTTGCTAGTTTCAAGCACATTCTTAAAACTAGCCAAATTATCTGCCCATATAAAACAGACAGTTCCGGTCCTAAAATCTGATTGGCTGAGCCATGTTCAAAGCCGTTGTAAAACCCACAATATACGCACACCTATGACATCCTCAAAACATCTGAATTGTGTATCACTGCGCTACAGCACAAAAAAACCCTTGTGCTATTAATGGAATAATCCTTGACCAGGCTGGTCAGCTAGCTAACAAGCTAAAAGAGCCAACATCCTAAACATCTTCCATCATTAATATCACAGACTTGAATTAAAGTACTTATATGATTCGCTGTAAAACGGCAGTATAAAAGTCTAAAAATGTCACTTGAATGTCTTACACACTTAAAATGTTCGTGTTTCTGTCAGAAGTCGTGTCAAACCCAGACTGAATCCCAAACGGCTCTGTACTCCCTAAATAGTGTTCTAGCTATGAAAGTTTAGAAATTCTAGCCTCTACAGCCAAACAGTGCATCATGAGTGTGGATGTGTCTGAGTCCCAAATGACTGTTTCTTAGCTGTATTTTGCTCTGTTGGGCTGCAGGATCCAGTATTTTAACTCCTACATAGTGCACTATGTAGGGAGCAGGGAGCCGTTTGAGATTCAGCCCCAGTGTGAGAAGAGGGCGCCGCTGGATTGGTGCTAAATAAGACACGTGGTGGTGATTTGGTGACCAAAACGTTCTAGTGAAAGCGTTTGCATTAAACAGTGCTGTGCTATCGTATGTTCATTATTATACGAAAAACGTTCATTCTCCTCATTTGTGGTCCATGGTTGCTGCAACGATACCATACTCTAAAGAAACTACATTTCTTGGTGGAATGCTTGTTCATGTTGATTTTTATTAATAATAACTGAAATTATTTTGTGTCTAAAATTGTGTGTGTTATCATATTTTATGTTGTCCACCATTTTATGAAAACTATATGCCACTTGAGGCTGTGTTACTGCGATTTTAGCACATTGAAGGGCGTTTTACTCTGCTTCACGACGTGCCTAACAACACCCTTCCCCGTGATAAAATCAGAGTATCGCACAGCCTCCGTGGCTTACTGCTTTAATATAGTGAGATAATTGTACTTAATAAAATCATTTAAAACAAGTCTACAAGGCTACTTTTCTACATTTTGTACAAAAGTACCAAATGTCTAGATAAGTTAAATAATCTTAATTTAAACTTGCAGCAATCTCAACAGGATATTAGATTTATTAACTATATTTAAGACAACTTCATTTAACAAGATGCCATTTTTTGCAGCTTTGCTCTTAACCATGCAAAAATGTGTTTCAGCTACGTTCCTAATCAACACGTTTTACTCCTGTTTGACTTCTGGACCCTTGTTTCTGCTTTAATGCCAGAAAATGGAGTTAAATCTCTTTATGGCTTCACTTAGTCATTGTCTAGACTACACTGAGAGCAGCTATAACACCCAAAGCCAAGCAGAAAAGCCAGTAAAAGACATGTATTTTTTTGCTTTATTTTTCAGATAACGTTCACTTCCAGCAAGCTGCCCAGATCTCCAAAGCTCTCGTCGATGAACAAGTGGATTTTGATGCAATGGTAAACATGATTGAAGCTAAATCGGCCATTAAATTACAAACGCAAGTTTCACTAAAGCATCTGCAAGTGTGGACTTTTGCATGACAAACATAGCCCACATACTTTATGCAAAAGTTTGAACATCACAGAGAAAATAATGTTTTATTAATTTTCTAACTGCAAATAGATTGACACTCTACAGAGAGCACACTCAATTTCTGCATTTCTCTGCTAATTTTAGTGCACAGTTTCTACCTATTTGCTGAGTTTTACATATAAAAAGAGAACATACAGTGTAAAATGTGCCATAACCTTTGCAAAGGCCATATTTTATGGGGTTTTTTTTATGTTAAATTCAGCCAATGAACAGTAACTGTGCATTTAAATGTGCAGACGTGTGGATGTGAACTAAGTTAAAGGTGCAAACGACTATAAATACGTACCTTATATAGACAACTATTAAAAAGTTTGGAATCAATGCTTTCATTAATATAAAACCAATTTCTTTGCACAAAAACGATTCTCTACGTCTTCACAGGTTTCAGCTCATTTGTAGGAAGCTACGAAAAATGAAGAAATGTTTTCAGAATGATGAACAGAGCTGTAGATGATCTTGTATCTGAGAAAGCTGTAGAACATTAAGAATGAAGTTATGCTTAAATTAACATCTAGAACAGCATCTATTTTAAGTGTGATAATATTTTGAGGCAGATAACTTACGAAGAAATTACTTAGAGGTGGACGAAAATATGGCAAAAATATAGTATTGCAATACTTCGAGAAATTTTCACGATACACGATATGTGACAGTATTTCTTTTTTCAGACGTCTGATCAGAGAAAAAGAGTCAGCAGTGCTAAATTTCAAACAATATCATCAAAAACCCAGTTAAACGGGACTCATTTTGCTCTCTTTATATTGAAACATGCAGTTGGTCAGTATCTACAAGTACTGACGATATACACGTTCAGAAACGCATATTGTATTGAGACATAATTTATCACAATAACAATATGTATTATCATATTGCCCAGGCCTAAAATTATTATATATAAATAAGTACAGCGTATAATATCATAGCTTCCCAGGGCTCCCAGAAAAGCTTAGAGTATTACAGTCTACAGTGTGGCAAAGTGGGTTGTACTGCCTCACAGCAAGAAGGGTCTGGGTTCGATTCCCCTGACAGGTAACAAGCGTCCTTTCTGATTGGAGATTGCATGTTGTCTGTGTGGGTCTGCTCCCACAGTCCAAAGACATGCAGTCAGGAGATGCTAAATTGCCACTAGATGTGAGTGAATATGTCTGGGTGTTGGCCCTTTGATGGACTGGCGACCTGTTCAAGGTGTTTCCCGCCTTCCACCCAGTGAACGCTGGGATAGGCTTCAGCACCCCCCACAACCCAGGAGGATAAGTGGTTTAAAGCCTTAGGTTCACTACACGACTGTTGTAGTCTGAACAGATTATAAAAGACTGGGCGTCTCACACTATCAGACTGGTTTTTGCAGATTTTTTGGGCGACTGAAATATTGGGGATCACACACTGCATGACTTTTAAGCTGTTGCTGAACCGAACGGAGCTCACTGAACTCTCGTAGACTCACACAAACTCGTGTGAACGCTTGCGTTCTCCCGTTACTAGGCGACCCAAATAAACAAACGTGGAGCTGCTGCTGTTTTCTCTGCCGTTTGCGCTGATACAGTAAAGAAGCAGCAGGTGAACATGTTTAAGTGAGGATCATGGATTTAAAAATGTGATCACTGTGGTTTTTTAAACGTACATAAACTCGATTGTGCCTTAAACTCAGCCCATTAAAAAGCTTCGCTCCACATGTGAGTGACTTTTTGCCACGTTTCTTTGTTCACTTGCTGCATTTTCTCTTTCATGCTCTCGGTTTTCATTGGCTGTTGCAAGAATCCGTTCAGACTGAGTCGTTGATCAGTTTACACTAGATTTCACTCAGAGTCGGGTCGGAAAAAAATCAAACGTTTGATAAACTCCGACTGGTCTGAAACGATCGGGCGGCCAAAAATCTGAGTCTGCGCCCCTCAAACACGACTCGACTCTCTCTCCAACTGTCGACTCCGACTGACCCAAAAATCTGCAGGCAAGAGCCGACCAGCTCAAACTCAGCCAGACTGAGAATCGGGGCTAAATCAGGGTAAAAGTCCTGTAGTGTAACCCCGACTTTAGATGACGCGTGAATTATGAAAAGTGACTGGAATCTTTTAAAAGGTAGTTGTGTTGATAGGAAAGCTGTTGTAATAGTTAATGTTTATTTTGTCCATCGCTCTCCGTCCCTCCCTCCCTCTCTCTCTCTCTCTCTCTCTCTCTCTCAGTGGTACACTGATGAGGATCACAGTCTTGGGGGGTCAGCCAATCAGCATGTCTATACCTATTTGAGTCACTTCCTGAAGAGTTGTTTTGCATGAGATGTTCCTCGAAATGTCGACCTTAAAGTCACGAGTCACTTCCTGAAGAACAGCTCTGTTGTAAATGTTCCCTGACTCATCAAACTTTGCAAACATCTTCATTTGGGACAATCCACCACAGTTCATTAGCCAGCTCCACTCCATCATACCACAAATCCTCAAGAGAAAAAACTGATATATTGTGATATATTTTTATTGATTCTATATTATTTTATTATAAAGCAAAAACTTTACACATTGAAGCCTCAACACCAAAAGGGTAACAACCAGTTGGAAACAGCTTTAATGAACTTGTTTTTTTATTAATGAAATATCTTTATGTGCTTTGCTGTGCGTCCAATTCACAATGCTTGAGCTCTACAACTGTTTGTAGGGACACAACCTAGATCAGTGGTAATTTCTGGAGACCTACTGTCCTGCCGAGTTTAGTTCTACTAATCTGCATCTAAAATTCTAACCTTCCTTACCAAACATTAACGCATCTGATCTCGCCAATCAAGGACTTCTGAAGTAGTCAATCAGCTGGAGCAGGTGCGGCAGATTGAGGATGGAACTAGGCTCTGCAGGAAGGTAGATCTAGGACCAGGGTTGGTGACCACTGAGCTAGATGTGCTTCCACTAAAAGAGAAGGTTTCCAACCATCCAATCCCTGTCTGAATTTTGGCCGACTGCATGTCCTGTCGATATTGCAGCTGATCAAACTGCGAAGACACTATTTATGAAATTTATTATTTGTAGTTGTTAAATGGTCAGATGGTCAGAATGGTTCACAGTGGTGGTGATAGGAACCAGACGTCCACCTCTAAAAGCTCCCTCACAGAAAGTTATTACAGGAAACAGTTATGAATTCACTGCCTGATGACTGAGACACTGTTTTATGATAGTTTTGAGAAGACTTTGACCTTAAACTCCATTCATGGTGGAGGGATACATGCAGGGCGCTGTGAGGCAACATAGTCCCCAAAGAAAACTTATTATTTCAGATTTTCCACTATTTTCCATCATCAACATTCCATATAAACTCAGAAGACTCGTGCAGGTTCACTGGTGGTTCTGGATAGTAAATAAAATGTCTATATTTGTGTTGTAGTCATGGCGACCCCTGGTTCCCATCACCACCACTGTAAAGACATCTGAACCATTTCACACCAAACCACTCTGAATCTCTCTGTTTACATCTCATCTATTGACCTATGTAGAATTTTAAGAAATCAAGGGAATTTGCATTTAATATTGTAATCACTATGCTTTATGAGCCAGCTGAACATTTATTATTATTATTATTATTATTATTATTATTATAGCTTTCTGCTGTGTAGTGTATCCAGAAGCCACCAGACCAGTGAAATGAGAATTCAACCTGCTTTGCTAAGATTTTTATGGGTAGCATTTTTGGACCCAGAACTTATTTCTATTTAAATGTTAAACTTCACATCTAGCTGGTGAGAGCGCTGTGTAATCCTGCTGTTTCCACATGTTCACCTTTACGCAGGTGAAAGTATTTATTGTAAATTTGTGAAACATTTAATTTGAAACTAATTATTTACTGTAAGTGAAATAAAATATGTTATAAAATATGGATGTAATGTTGGATGTAAATTATATTGAAAAATGTGTATTTTGATGAAGTAAACAGAGTGTCATAAAACATATTACATTTCAAAGTTAAAGTGAGCTGAATAAATAAATGCCTGGAAAAAAAACGTTTTTTTGTATATTTCAACCAAATATGAGGATTCACCCATTCAAACTTTAAGCAATCAGCTGTGTCATCATTTTTTAGTAATTATTATAAATTTTTGGTGTTCAGACAAGATGAAATCCAAACTGCACAACAGGTGAATAAAAACAATCTAAATGTAAATGGGTGCTGTACATATTAGCGAAAATACACATGGATGTAATCCACGTCTGAACTAAAATCTGGAGAGAATATTAAGAGCTCTATAAAATCTTTCCCAAAACGTTTGCTAGTATTTATGTCCATTTCCTACTAATCCTTCAAAATTATACTTATTATTGTGTAGATACATTTGATTTACATTACACAATCATTTCAGTTACATTATAAATTATGCAGTTACACAATCAATAAAATTACATTCAGTTTACATCCTGTAATCGACAGGTTTGAGTCTGCAGTTCCTCCTTTTTTTGCTGTTAGTTGAAAAATGACAAAATGTGGCAAAAATGTAAAGGATAGTTTTTCTTTCTGCACAATAAGACTACATGCAAAAAACCTCATCAAATTCAAATCATAACAGAATATCTCTAAAATCAAACGTGATAAAGATTGAAAGCTTAGCGTCTCCACTTATTTTAAATGAGCTACAAGTGAGAATTATTTCATAGAAAATAATGAATGCCAGTGATAATTGGGCCTGCTGAGGGTTTTTATACAGCATCTTTTCACATAGATGATGTGATGGAGGTGTTATAAAGCAAACATTATTTATCAGGTTCGCCTTGTGCTTTAAAACCTACCCTAACTCTATGTAATCTTTCAAAGCGGAACAGGATTTAAGTCTCACTAGCCACGTTTACATGCAACCTAATAATCCATTAATAATCTGACTAATAGCTCAATCGGAATAGAGAATAGAAGTCCATGTAAACACCTTCATCGGAATAGACTAGTCCGACTGAAGCCATTCAGAATACAGTTTCTATCTGACTGAACGAGGTGGGTAATCCTGTAAATAATCTGTTAAATAGAAGAATAATATCCGTGTAAACGTCTGTATCTGATTACATTCCCTATCGGAAAGTTTAAGTCCGTTCTGATCATGTTCGTCACGTCATAGTGAAAGTTTATACCATTCAACATGGCGGAGCAGAAACTGGTCTGCAGAGGAGATGAAGTTTATGCTCTGATCTTTAAAAGACAGCGGTGGGACGGACGTCCAGCTTATGTGTCTCAGAACACGACGTCTTCCTCTCGTCTTCTTTAATAAGGACATGTGAAGGACGATTTCCTGAGTCTGACATCATTTTAAAGCAATTAAAAACACAAGCACTGCTCACTGCTGCTCATCTCACTCCGACTGGACTCACGTGATGCTGGTTGTCATGGTAACGTCTACACTAAGTGGTTCTCTACGCATGCGCATAATTTTGGATCTGATTACTTGTAGTGAGCATGAAAACAGAAATTTTCATCAGATTGTTGAGTAGAGTGAGCATAAACACCTCAGTCTGAATCTGTAATCAGAATGATTATAATTAGATTGCAAAAAAAGGCAAAAAAAGATCTTGCAGATGCAGATGTTATTTATTGATAGAGATAAAAGAAAAGAAATAAGGATGATACTGTAATTAATACAGATAACTCTGGGACGGTCGTGGGCTGGAAGTTAGGGAACCAGCCTTGTGACCAGAAGGTCGCTGGTTTGATCCCCTGAGCTGACAGTATGTGACTGAGGTGCCCTTGAACAAGACACCTAACCCCCAACTGCTCCCTGGGCGCCATGGATAGGGCTCCAGATTCCTCAGGGTGAAAATGATCCCAGAGGTCTTGTTTTAAAATGCAAAAAACAAAATTTGCATTTATTGGTGTTGGTATCAGCCTCAATAAGGTGCAAATTGTCGGAGTGTCCCTATTCAGACCGATGAGATCCTGACTAGGGCTGAACCCTTCATCGTTTTCACATCGAAATCGCAATTTTAAAGAAAGCTGCAGTTTTATAGCGTGCATTATAAACACTGCTCCTTTCCTTTCAGGTTGTTGAAAAAGTGCCTATTTCTGCAGTTTTCTCAACTTTTCACGGTTAAAGATGCAATTTCTGAATGCTGTTGTGTTTATTTGATATACTTATGTCACTATCTATCTTTTAAACACGTAAACAGGAATGTAAGTCAGCTGTGATTTACTTTTTCTCTGAGTAAACAAATCATTAATAAGCTCTTACTGATGTAAACAGCGCTCTGAATGCTTAGTTCGGAAAAAAAAACGTGTCCCACAATAAAAGAGGCCCCGTGCATCTTTTATACACTGATAGAAACAGGATTGACCACAGAAAGCTCCAGTTCTACACGCTGAACTTGACAGTGCTGTTACACAGCTTAACTCCTCTGGCAGCAGATAAAACGGGAGGCCTTGATTGTTTCGGGGCTGATTCCAGGCCTGTCGGGTACATGTGGCTAAGTGGGGGAATTGAACCTCTTTCTGCAGTGCCCCCTAGTGGTCATTCTGCTTCTGATTCTGGACAATGACTCAGATATCTTTATTAAATGTAATCAAATAAAATATTTTAAGATGAACCAGGACACTGTTGTCTCTCTGTGTGTGAAAGGTTGAGGGGGTGAAAGGGGAGGGGTGAGAACCCTTCTGCTGTGAAAAACAATTCACACCTCCCCACAAAGCCTGGATGATGCTGGTTCGACGTTGTGGCCGAGATAAAACGGACAGCTTCAGCTTTATTCACATCCAACTATCCTGTACAACTGCCACAATAAAAAAAATAGCGTCTAAACACAATTAGAACACTTGTTGACCTGCTGGCTCACCTACAAAGACAAAACAATCTAGTTAAGCATTTGTAAATTATACACATTTCCAATATATTACCACTGGAAAATATTCCATATTCCAACAATATTGAAACCAAAGTATAGTTCAACCGAAAGACCTCCTCCTCCAAAACAGGCGGAAATTGCATTTTATGTCTACACTCTTAAAAAAATGGTTCTTCAAGAGTTATTTAGTATAGTGAATCGTTGTATGTAGAGCCATGAGTTCTATATAGGACAATTCATGCTTAAATGGTTCTTTTCATGGTAAAATTGTTATTTAGATTGATGGAAAATGTGTTGTATGTGGTTCTGTATAGAACCCTTTTGAAATTAGTCCTTTTTAGCACCAATAAGGGTTCTGCTATTGTTATGATGTCAAGCTTGTAACAATAGAAGACCCCCTTCTGGTGCTGTATAGAACCGTTATCATTCAAGAAACACAACACATTCCCCATCAATCTGAAGAACCATAATCATAATCTAAACAGAATTAATGCCTTTACTAAAGAAGCCTTGAAAAAAAACGTCTTTTTCCAATGTGCACTGTAAAATATTGGGTTAACCTAATAACATGGAGTCAAAAAAGGTTTAAATCATATTTAGTTAATAGATAGTTCATGGTTTCACTGGAAAATCAATCATCAAAAAAATTAACATTTCTTGTGGAGTCCCTCAAGGTTCAGTTTTAGGGCTTTTCTCTTTGTACATCCTTGGTACTAAAACTCAGAGAAAGCTGCTTTATGAGAATCTTGGTTCTTTAGCTTCATATACCAAACCTGAAGGAGGAAATCTGGGTGTGATCTTAGACTCTAAACTCTGTTTATTTTGCATGTAAACACAGTCACTAAAGTAGCTTTTCATTATTTGAGAAATGTCGCTGAAGTTCGGCCTTTTCTCTGTCAGAGCGCGCAGAGAAACTTGTTCATGCATTTGTTACAGCAGAGTGGATCACTGTAATGATCTTCTTACTGGACTTCCTAAGAAAACAATGCATCCCTTACAACTCGTACAAAATGCATCAGCATCCTAACAAAAACAACATAGAGAGATCAGATCAGTCCCGTTTTAAAAGAGCTGTTCTGGCTGCCTGTATCGTTCAGGATAGATTTTAAAGTTCTGCTACTAGTTTTTACGGCTCTAAATGACCTTAAAAGCACCGTTTACATCACAGACTGTCTGTCTGTTTATGTTCCAGCACGTAATCTAAGATCTGCAGATACTGACCTTCTACAAATACCTTCTGTAAAACATAGAAAACATGGAGAGGCTCTTTCAGTTATTCTGCTTCTAAACTGTGGAACTCAATTCCACCTTTTATTAGACAGTCAAGCTCAGTGCTCACTTTTAGAAGCATCTAAAAACATCTCTCTTTAACTCAGCATTTAATTAAAACTCTACGTCTCGTGGTGTTTATCTTTTAATTTGATCTCTGTCACTTACTTATATGATTCTTAATTAATACTTATAATTTCTTAAATTACTGTTAAGCTTTATCTCCTGTCTGTAAAGCACTCTGAGCTGCCACCGGCATGAACAGTGCTATATAAATAAAAATTATTCTTATTCTTCTTAGTATTATTATTATTATCATTATTATTATTATTATTATTATTGTTATTATTATGTGACCACACAGCCACAACTAACAGGCATCATTGAAGCCTCAAGCCAGAAAAAAGTGAATGTCCTGTTTTTTCTTGCGAAATAACAGGCCTGGACCTTCATTTATTGAAAATAATCACAATTTAAATTGCAGAAAAATCACAATTAGTTATTTTCCCTAAATTGTTCAGCCCTGGTCCCGACTCAGGCCAGTGTTAAGTGCTAATCGTCCCTCGGCGAGAGCGTACAGTAGCACTTCATCTTGTTTTTCTCTCACTTTATTTGCCAGGATGGCATCCTGCTTTCCGACACCTCTAAAAGACAGCCCTTATCTCCGCTACGTCTTCCTCTTTTAAACAAACACAAAGCTTTGGTTTCACCCAGCAGGGTAATGGATTGGGACTAATGAATGAGTTTAACGCGTGCACCGCCGCACGTATAGTGTGAGTGCGCGTGCGTCCCAGTCTGCGTGAATAGGGGGGGTTGCTGTCGGGGCTGATCCATCTGTCTGGCCCTGCTATAAAAGAGGGAGGAAGAAAGTGAAAAGGCCAGAAAGAGACCGGCGAAAGCAGCAGAAAGGAGGCGAAAGAGCTTGCACAACACACACACACACTCGTCTGCGCACCGGTGAGTGGCGGGGGGATCGGACCCACAGAATTAGGATGGAGAACCTTTGACCTCTTGAAGGAAAAGAAGTGTTGTGATGTAAATGTGAACGCTAGATGTTTCTTTATTTCCGTAGAAATGAAGAAAAGTTGACTCCTTTGTTGTTGTGCATGTGTGACGTAGGTATAAAGATGAAAGGCACGCAATTCCTCGCTGGTCTTCTGCTTCTCTTCTTCATCCACAGCAGCCTGGAGCTGCCGCTAAAAGACGTCACAAGGTAAGAGAAAAACATCTCAAAAGGAAAGATCTCATATAATCTTCCAACAACTTTGGGTAGATTTTTTTTTGCAGTACTGAGTGGTCAATTAAAATGATTACTGATGTTTTCAAATACACTGAAGCATCTTTAAATAATCTAAAAGCATCTTTCCAGGTTGGAATTTGACAAAATGCAAAGAAAAAAATTTACTGTACCACAAAGTCAGATGTCTTTACAGTGGTGGTGATAGGAACCAGGGGTCACAATGACTACAGCTCAAATTTGCCATTTTATTTACTATCCAAAACCACCAGTGAACCTACACAAGTCTTCTGAGTTTTATATGGAATGTTGATGATGGTTAAATAGTGGAAAATCTGAAATAATATGTTTTGTATGGGGTCTATTGTGACTTATATTGTCCTGAAATGCCATTAATGGATTTAAAAATTATACATTTTAAACAAAAACCTTCACTAAACTATCGTAAAACGGTAGGCAGTGAATTCATAACCATTTCATGTAGTAACTTTCTGTGAGGGAGCTTTTAGAGGTGGACGTCTGGTTCCTATCACCATCACGGTGAACAATTCTGGCTCTTTAATGTTCTCTAGAATGATTTAAACTATTCCGAATTAATCTTCTTACTGATTTACTTATACAGTAATTGTTAAAAATCAGTTAAAATTTAATTTAATGCAAAAGCTGAATGAAGATCCATCAAAGGTGCTTTGTAGGAAAATAGATGCTTCCAAATTCACTGAGGATACAAGAGATATTTGGAAATTGCCCTTTTGTGTCTTTGAAGATCGTAATTTAAAGAAATGCTGGTTCAGGTTTTCTCTTTAGTCTTGGAACAACTTTTTTAAGAGAATGTTTAGAGAAGCTTGTCATAAAATGCTTTTAGTTTCAGTGGAAATCTATCAATTGTTCACTGTGGACTAAGAAATGCAAAGAATTCATTAGAAAGATTAAAGATGCACTTTAAAATAATCCAAATGTATCTCCTATGATTAGAATTAGAAAGCAGGTCTTAAAGCATAGCAAACCAGAACACTTTAAAACACTTTTAAAGGATTTAATGGTTGCTTTTGTACTGAGACTTGGCATGTTTGCAGCTCAGAGACAGAAGCGCGTGTGTGGGAGGAGAGGAAAGATTTCCCACTGGTGAAGAGGCATTCGGAGGGCACCTTCTCCAACGACTACAGCAAATATCTGGAAACGCAGCGGGCGCAGGACTTTGTGCAGTGGCTGATGAACTCTAAGAGGAGTGGGTGAGTGCAACTAAAGAGCTTTTGCATTTTTAAACTCAACTGTTTTTTAAAATGGATCTGAAGCTGTATGTATTGTATTTATAGATTAACCCATATTTATATATATATATATATATATATATATATATATATATATATGTATATATATGTATATATATATATAGATATATATATATATATATATATATATATCACCTTTTATCTCCATTTTTGTCATCTTTTATTTTTTGACATAATTTGAAAAAAGGCAGTTATCTTCATATATATTGATAGAGATATATAGATATAGACATTTATCGCTATTGTCTGAACAAAACCTCATATCTCCATTTTGGCCAATTTTCAGTTTTTGACATTATCTGAAAAAACCTATTGTCCTTTACATTGTGTGTAAATTTCATGATGACTGGACCCAAAGAAACGGCCCAGAATTACTTACCATTGACTTACATTAAAAGAAAAGTAGGTTTTTTCCTTCTCCTGTAAAGTTAACATTTTTGAGATATGAGGTTTTGCTCCGACATCAGTGATATATATATATATATATATATATATATATATATATATATATGAAGAGAGCGAAAGAAAGCATGCTGTATATATGGCATTCTGAATTTGCCACAAATTGTTTTTTATCTGCTAAATTGCTAGGACTTATTAACTCACACTCAATAACAAACGGCATAAATTCATAATGCTTAATTTGTGCCATTAGCTTGGCCTATTTCTATTTCCTATCATCTTTAAACTACTTTTATCATTAGCATATTATTTACATTATACAGTCATATGCAAAACTTTGAACAGCCCTGGTCAAATGACATGAAAATACGTGACTACATCCTCTACAGAAACGACTTTTTTCTGCAAATTTCTATTTATCTGCTTAATTTAACATATTGGAAAAAAAAACAAAACAGAAAATACAAAATGTGCCATCACTTCTGCACAAGGCATGTTTTAATTTTTTCCCTATATGTTACATTCATTATGTATTATTGTGCATTAAAATGTGCAGAAGCGTGTTTCTGTAGAGAACTTATTTTTAGACAAACACAAAACGTAAAATTTAACCAAGGTACCCAAACTTTTGTACATGACCGTATATCTTACAGGATACTGTTTAGGTTAAACATACTGAACCCCTTTTTATGTTAAATGTATCAAACTAATTAAACTTAGGGATTCTTATGGATGCAGCGGTGTGAGAATTGTGGGCCAGTTTGATACAATGTTTTTTGTGTAAATATCAGGCGATACAGATACAGAAACATTTAGAAAATGTAGAAATTAGGACAGAGAATTATAAAATTCATTTGTAGAGGGTTAAAAAGGAAATAAAATTACTAAAATGCACATATTTTTGTGTGGTGACCGAGCAGTGCCTATGCACTCTGCTCATCTGGATTTCAATAAATACATCATGAAATACCGGTTTTAAATGTCAGCCAAATCCAAACATCTGTCTGCTGCTAGTATGTTTTTTAAGCAATTATCTGCAGGTACTGATACAATACCGGCTGCACCAGCTGTGCATTAGTTATACATATAGCGTAAGCTATTATAAAGTTCAAGTTTACAACATAAAAACGGATTGCAACACACAAACGTGTTTTATTGTTGAGCTTAGTATCTGCCAAATATTCTCACCTATTGGGAAAACCAACAGAAACCATTCAGAAACCATATAAAATGAACAAAAACATTACTAAGCTAAAAACACTAAATGCTATATGCTTTCAGCTTTTATCCTGACCCTGGTTTTATCTCTGAGCATGAAACTAACACTAAACTAATGGAAAAATTAAGTGCTGGATTCGCATTTCCATGGTAGTGCATTAACAAGCTGGTCCTGAACATGTCATTGTCATGTTAATGCGATGTATGCATTAGTTACGACGTATCTTACGGATTTGCGGTGCAACCAAGGACAGCTTGAAACTAACTAGTATTAACTAAGGACTAGGGCTGCACGATGAATCATATTTTTATCATTATCGCAATATAAGTTTCCGCGGTAAACACATCTTTAAAACGGCGGTGACAGAACAGATCTCATTACTTCATATACGTAGCAACAGAGAGACGTCATTACGTTACCCCACAAACCGTTAGCCTGCTTCTCTGCACTGGGACTGTACCTGATCTCCGATGTGGGAGACGAGGAACCTAACCAACTACAAAACACACGCTGGGACCTTAAAATGTCCCCATAACTCAGTTTTAATGGAAATTCAAATACAAAACACACTGGGAGACCTTAAAATGTCCCCATAACGCAGCTTCAATGGAAATTCAACTACAAAACACACGCTGGGACCTTAAAATGTCCCCATAACGCAGCTTTAATGGAGATTCGACTCAAAACACACACTGAGACCTAAAATGTCCCCATAACTCTGTTTTAATGGAAACATGGAGCTCACAGGCTGCTCCGGCTCTACTGTTTTTCTGCTAGCCAGCAGAGGTACTGAAGTCCCCAGAGTCCTTCAAAATAAGAGTCCTGGACCAACTAAGAACATGATGCCTTACTGCACTCAACAAATTTATTTGTTTTTGTGAACATTTGTAAAAAAAACATACACATATATTTATATATATATATATATATATATATATATATATATACACACAATATATAAACAAATACATATATATATATATATATATATATATATATATATATAGTACTTGTTAATATTTCATTTCTTATTATTTTACAAAATAGTGAATAGTGCTTTGTGTAAACAAGAGAAGTTAGTCAGATTTCTGTTTATATGTTCCAAAAAATATCTGCACTTGTGTTACATCCAGCCAGAGACGCATTATTTTAATAGTAATTTTATCGCTTGATATCTGACAGCTTTATTGAACGTCACATTTTATGTGAATATCGCGCAGCCCTACTAAGAACTAAATGAAGACTTTACTCTCAAACTTAAGTACAAACTTGCGCAAAACTGGAGCAACCTATAAAATACTCAGTAACCAATAGAGACGCACTGACATGGGAAAGGCTATGAAATTTTTATGCGCGTATCTGTCAACGCTGATATGTACACGGTAATATAAAAATCTATGAACTGGGGTGAAAATCTAGCTGGATTAGCGTTACTGAGATTTGTAAAAGGTTACTAATGCAGTAAAAATGAATAAAGGTTAGATATTTTAGCACAGTTGTCTAAACATTCTGCTCCACTTGAGTCCAGTAAATACCCAATATTGGCTTAAAATATAGGTAAAATCAAAATATCGGTCCAAAACATTTTTTATAACCACTACTGACTGAGTACTGATAATATTCCTGAACCAACACATACCAGATAAGTCTTAATCTACACACACAGCAGTTTAGACACCAATGTTTTCCAATTTAGGCACCAAATTTAGCCGGCTTATCAGATTATGTCCATCCTCGCTCCATTACTCTCTCAGTGGCGATTCTCCAGAATGCACTTTAGACTTTATGTACTCTAGATAAATCTCAGTGCACAATAAAGTAAATGGAACCTGATTTCACACACCCCCCCCTTCCTCCTCGTCTCCACAGCGGGCCGGTCCGGCGCCACGCCGACGGCACCTACACCAGCGACGTCAGCGCCTACCTGCAGGACCAGGCGGCTAAAGATTTCATCACCTGGCTAAAGAGCGGACAGCCCAAACAAGAGTAGGCATCATCACCATCACCTTGGCCCGAGCTCACCTACAGTGCCTTATGAAGAGAGGAGAGAGAGAGAGAGACATGGAAAGCAAATAAATTAGAGAGACACATAGAGAAAGATAGAGCGCAACATTATTAACCCAATAAACCCTTCTGCTTTTGTTCTTTTTGCTAAAGCCTGATTCTTTTTGTTGACCCTGTCCTAACCTTGCTAATAAATCGCTCTGAATTACTGATCTTCTACTGTTTCTGCTGCTGATCTATTCCTTTTTTGGCAAAATCTCTGGCTTTGGGAGCTTTCGTTCAAACATACTGTTTCCTGTCAGTGCTGACGCAAAGCATAAATGCTACTAATCTCCTTTTTGGGGTTGTTTGGCTTTGGGAATCTTTGGCTACAAACACAATCACAGAGTCGCTTCTCTGGCACTGCGCCACTGCTGTATTGCCCTATCAATGCTCCACCCACAAATGCGTGCTTTCGTAGCTGCTAGGCTGTAACGGTACATAAAATATATTAGTGAAAGTAAGGAGGGGCTGAAAAAGTGCCTTCTGTTAATATGTTAATATTTCCTTTTCTCAGTTTATTGGAAAATTTAATATTATGCTTTGTCGTACGCTCTAAAATCCGGTCCTAAAATCTGAGTGGCTGAGCCGCATCCACACCTATGACCGCTTCACAACTGAATTGTGTATCACTGTGCCAAAAACATGGAGCACCGAGAATACTGATGAAGTAAGAACCCATTTTTTGTTTAAATTTAACGGCTGGCAACTTATGTTTTTATCTAGAACTAGGCTGGTCAGCTAGCTAACAGGCTAAAAGATAGCAAACATGCTAAACAACTCCATCATTAATATCACAGGCTTGAATTAAAGTACGTACCGTATGATTAACAGTAAAACGGCAGTATTAAAGTCTAAGAATGTCACTTGAATGTCTTACACGCTTCAGATGTTCGTGTTTCAGTCAGAAGTCGTCAAACCCAGACTGAATCCCAAACGGCTCTGTACTCCCTAAATAGTGTTCTAGCTATGAAAGTTTAGAAGTTCTAGCCTCTACAGCCAAACAGTGCATTATTTATCGAATGTGGATGTGTCTGAATCCCAAATGACTGTTTCTTAGCTGTATTTTGCTCTGTTGGGCTGCAGGATCCAGTATTTAAACTCCTACATAGTGCACTATGTAGGGAGCAGGGAGCCGTTTGAGATTCAACCCCAGATTGAGAAGAGGGTGCCGCTGGATTGGTGCTAAATAAGACTCACGGTGGTGATTTGGTGAACAAAAAGTACTATAAAGCGAAAGTTTGTACATTAAACAGTGCTGTGTTATCATATGTTCACTGTTATACGACAACACCCTTCCCTGTGATACAATCACAGTAACGCACGGCCTAATAATACGCTGTATTATTACATCCATATTAGCTTCTGTCGCAAAGTCGGAAAAGCTTTATGGATCACTGGTAAAAATCCCATTTAACATTAAAAGAAACTGGAGCACACAACTTCTATATAGAACCATCTACAGCACATTCTCCATCAACCATTTTAGCGATGCAGTGAACCCTTTAATCATGCAAAGGGTTCTTTGAGCGTTCCTGGTTCTATATAGAACCATTTTTGTTACCCTTGGAGAACCATCTTTTTGAGAGTGTAGGGTTTACACAGTATCAGTCACGTATCATTCAATTAAAAGTTCTGATTTACTGCGTAGGAGCTTATATTTTATGTATACACCCTTAAAAAATTGGCTCTTCAAAGGTTCTTTAGTAAAGGCAGTGGTTCTGCTTAGAACCATGAGTTCTATAAAGAACCTGTTCATGCTTAAATGGTTCTTTGCATTGTGAAATTGTTCTTCAGATAGATGGAGAGTGTGTTGTATATGGGTCTATATGGAGCCCTTTTGGAAATGGTTCTGTATAGCACCAAAAAGTGTTCTGCAAGAACCCTTGAAGAGCTGTCATTCTGAAGTGCATAGATTTTTAGCACTGGAGATGTGCTTTCTGACTGACTTCGGATTATCTGTAAGAGTTAATGGACGGATATCCGGTTAACTCATAAAAACACTGTTTCATCGAGAACACGTTTAGCTGAGGGAAATCGGGATGACGTAACTGCGGCTGCCTCTTCAGATGAGCTAATGAGCTAACAGAGCTTACTAGCTTAATCACTGGACATCGATGAGGACTCGCTGTCTTCTACACTAGGTGTTTTCTCCTCAGTGGACCGAGGCACAGAGTCTAAAACTGAGCCTTTAAGCCTTGGTAGAAAGAAAGCTGGCATGGGAGCTCTGAGGTCTAGGCAACGGTCCAGTACCCAAGACCCAGCCCTTTAGCACTGGCAAAACAAAAACTTGGGACGGAAGCTCTGAGGCCCATAAGGTCCAGCCCTCAGAGTTGCAAGGAAAAAACGTGGGACGGAAGCTCAGGCCCAGTGTCCACTCACCAAGAGCCAAGACCCATTAGAAAAGGGCCTACAATATTGGACTGAGGCCCAGACTCAGGTTATTCATAAGAGAAGTATTTTCATTGTTCTAGACCTAGCTAACACTAGCTAGAGTAGTTAGCCTCGTTAGCAGCAAATCCGTGCTAGCACGCTCACGTTCAGGCACTCAAGATTCAGAGTAGCAAAATATATCTTAATATACCTTCTCACGAATACAGAACATTTCCTTTTACTGAATTGTTAGGTTGTATATTTTCCTTTGTTTTGCTGTGATGAAATGTAGTGATTTCAGTATTCAAACACTGCCACCATGAACGGTTAACCGAGTACACGATACCAATGCATATTCAGATTTTTTACAGCCTGACTGTCCATTTTTTTCTAGCATATTTTCATTTATTTGCTTTTTAATGGGCCAAACTGACATTTTAAATCCGTAAATGAAAAACAGCTGTCTTGCCAAATAAATCGAATAAAGTGCGTCATCAAAAGTTAAAGGCTAGTACTAGCTATTCAGCACACATGTTAGTACAAGCATAGCAGCAGGATGTAAATACAGCGTAAGTCCATCACATTATCCACGTCATAAAACTATAAAACAGATCAATAACAAAAACGTAGTTAAACTTTATATTGCATTATTTTAAACTCGATGTTTTGTAGTTATGTTTGAAACATCGTAGCTGATGTGAATAATTTACTGATTTTGAGTTACTAAGTGCTGCCGAAGCTCATTAGCCTGAATTCTTTATTCAACCTCACAACAGTAGCTACGAAAGGACGTGTTTGGAGGCGGAGCCTGGAGGAGGTCCATTACATTACACAGAAAACAAATTGTCTCATCTTGTGCTCTGTTAGATCATAAAGGGACAATTCAGGGATGCTGCACTCTTAAAAACAGATGGTTCTTTAAGGGTTCTTTAGTAAAGGGAATGGTTCTATTTAGAACCATGAGTTCTATATAGAGCCATTTCATGCTTAAACCAAAAATGTCAAGCTTGTAACAACAGCAGAACACTTTTTGGTGTTATACAGAACCATTTCCAAAAGGGTTCCGTATAGAACCATGAACAACACATTCTCCATCTATCTGAAGAACGATTTCACCATACAAAGAACCATTTAAGCATGAAATTGTTCTATTTAGAAGTTCTAAATAGAACCACTGCCTTTACTTAAGAACCCTTGAAGAACCATCTTTTTTAAGTGTGTTTACATAAAATATAAATGAATCTGAACTTTTAAGTGAAAGATTCAAGACTGATACTGTGTAAACCCTACATTCTTAAAAAAGATGGTTTTTCAAGGGTTCTTTAGTAAAGAAAATGGTTCTATATAGAACTGTGAACACTCAAAGAACCCTGTGCATGATTAAGGGCTCTCTGCATCATGAAATGCTTCTTTAGATTGACGGAATATGTGCACGAATGTGCATTCTTCTACTGTTGAAACACTCTTAAAAATGATGGTTCTTCAAGGGTGCTTTAGTAAAGAAAAAGATCCTATATAGAACCATAAACACTCTGTACAATTAAAGAGTTCTTTGCATCATTAAAACGTTCGTCAGATTGAGAATGTGCTGTAGATGGTTACACATAAAACCTTTTTCAAAATGGTTCTTTATAGAACCAAAAAAGGCTCTTCTGTTGTTACGCTGTTAAGCTTGTAATGATAGAAGAACGCTTTTTGGTGCTATATAGAACCATTTTCAAAACGGTTCTATATAGAACCATACACAACACATTCTCCATCAATCTGAAGAACGCTTTCACAACGCAAGGAATCCTTAAATCAATCAAAGGGTTCTCTAGTGTTCATGGTTCTACAGAGAACCATTTTCTTTACGAAAGAACCCTTGAAGAACCATCTTTTTTAAGAGTGTACTAGTGTCTCAGCGTGTGAGTGCTAAGTGTGAAGCTACACAGTGCTGTGTGGAAGGAGGCTCTATGAAGTGGCTCTGACGGTGCCTGTGTTGTGTTCTGCACATGCTCAGAGGTTCTGGGAAACGAGGGGTAGAAGCAGTACACAGGAGACACGTGGATGGAAGCTTCACCAGTGACGTCAACAAGGTGCTAGACAGTATGGCCGCTAAGGAATACCTACAGTGGGTCATGAGCCAATCATCAGGGACGAGGTAATGTCTACAATATTTCCCCATATAAAACTATACACAAAACTCAGCTGATCAATGTACACATATCTGCTTTATCACTTGCTGTTAGGTCTGGGCGATAAAACATAAACCATAATTATCTAAACCAAACATATTATTGATACTTTTTGATATTTTCAATAAATTGAGTGTCATTTTTGTTGAACTATGAACAATTGCTGCTTCATTACACTAGGTGGCGATGTGAGGCTTTCGCTCTCCTGACAAAAGTCTAGCCATTCACTCACAGCACAAACCAACAGGACAGTTAGCTGTAGAGCTGGGCGAGATGATGATATTTATCATTATCACAATAAATTACATCACAACATGCTTTTCTGAGCGTATCTTGGATATCATCAGTACTTAAAAACCACTTACATATTTCAATATAAATACTGAGATATTTTAGATAAATTAATTGTCATTTTTGTTGCGGCAAAGGCCTGAACTGTGAACAATTGCTACTTCGTTACACTAGGTGGCGATGTGTGGCTTTCGCTCTCCTGACAAAAGTCCAGCCATCCAAAAGGACAGTTAGCAGTAGAGCTAGGCAACATTACAATATTTATCGTTATTGCGATAAATTATATCACAATATGCTTTTTTAAGCGTATCGTGGATATTGTCAGTACTTAAAAAACATATTTCAATATTGATACTGAGATATTTTCACTAAATTGAGTGTCATTTTTATTGCAGCAAAGGCTTGAACTGTGAACAATTGCTGCTTTGTTACACTAGGTGGCGATGTGCAGCTTCTGCTCTTTTGAAAGAAGTCTAGCCATTCACTCACAGCACAAACTAACAGGACAGTTAACTGTAGAGCTGGGCAATATTACGATATTTATCATTATCATGAAAAATTACATCACAGTGTGCTTTTCTGAGCATATCATTGATGTTGTTAATACTTAAAAAGTTGATTACAGAAAGCCTAATTAGTCCTGTTTAGTAGGATTTAGTGCAACACAGTGTGAAAATGTTACAATACAAATAACTGAACTAGTTTTTGATGGTATTTTTGAATATGTGAATATCTGCTTTGCCACTTGCTGTTAGGCCTGGGCGATAAAAAAGCATAATTATCTTAACCAAATGTTTCAATATTGATACTGAGATATAGAGCTGGGCGACATTACGATATTTATCGTTATCACAATAAATTGCATCACAATATGCTATTCGGAGCATATCGTTAATATCGTCAGTACTTAAAAAACACTTACCAACTGCATTATATTACAGAGAGCCTAATTAGTCCCATTTAGTGGGATTTAGTGCAACACGGTGTGAAAATGTTACTATAAAAAAAAATACCAAAAAAACTCATGAGACATATAAAAATAAGCATCGCAACGTATCGTGTATCATAAAATGACATATCGCCCACCTCTAGTTAGCAGAGTTAGCTTTCCAGTGTTGAAAGTGGAAAGTAGTGTGGAAGTGTTTTTAAAAAAGATGTCCTGTTTTCTCCAGTGTAAAAAAACCTACTCAAACTTAAGTTTTTTTTTATTTGGACCTGGCTTGTAACTCACTCACTCACCTTTAACAAGACTGTCCACAAGGGGGGCACTATTGGCACTCTAGTAACTACAGTGAAAACAACCTTGTGTTAGCTGAAATGACTGAATCTTCTGAGCACTGTGTACACGCATGCTTTCTAGGACTATACAGGATACTTAAAATACAAAAGCCATCCAAATTTTATTCAGAATACAGCAAAATTACAAACAGGGTACTACATGCCGGTGCATCATAGCTCATTTTGCTTCATACTATGATAAAACATGATATTATTGGTTAATGTTATCTGTCCCGGCCTGCTGGTAAACAGTGACCTGAACAAACAAAAAAGGTCGCTTTTTTATTTCAGGTTGGTTTCAAAATTCAGCATTATGAATTCAATAAATGTGATAGAGTAAATATATATAAAGCAATAATTATGGATAACTACCAATACCAAGCGACATGGAAAATATTCAAATACATTTTTGGCCATACGAGTCTGCACTACTAACTGTTAAACTACATTAGTGTGATCAAACTATTGGTAGACAGATTAAAATTGTATATGCCTCACTAAAACACTATACCAGGGGTCGGCAACATGCAGCTCCACAGCAGAATTAGATTTGTAGGTAAAAATAAAATAATCCTCCTTTACAGTAAAATAAAGCTCTGCTGATCGTTCAACACAGTTTAACAATAAATGGTCTTAAACTCTGGAGTTAATGTAGAACTGCTAATTCACCCTTTAACCCTGAAGAACAGCGCAGACTGCTGGTCACCATAGCAACAAACAGTCTCGCCTAGCTAGTAGCTAATGAAACGGCAAAGAGAGAGATTTAAGATGAACATCGATAATTTAGAGATGAAAGGACTTATTTGTGTTTATAATCACTCCAACTGGTTTCCTGATACGTTTAATCTGCAACAAGAAACTGACAAACACTAAAAAGTTGTGAAGCTGAAGTCAGTTTCTCGTTAGAATTCTCCCGTTCCACCTTAAAAATGGTGCTGCAGCAACATTCTGCCGCCTCAGGCCCCATTTAAGGTGGAACGGGAAAATTACAACAATAAGCTGGTGAATGAGAAGCGACTTCAGCCTCGTAGAATCGAACGCTGAGAGACATTTTCCAAGAAACTGTTCTACTTTTGCGGAAAAGTTTCCTGCTGCAGATGCAAGAAAAGCAGCTATAGCTGAGCTAAAGCTAAAAGCAGAGCAAAGTAAGTCTGCGTTTTCGCTTATATAATGTTTTTTAGTCTATACTGGTACATCAGCACATGCTGAGACATATTTACAGCCAAGATGGTAAAATGGACATAAAGTCTTGTGGCTTTTAAGGTGGATAGATTTTTGTTGAAAGGACAAAATGGCTCCTCCTAACATTTGGGTTGCCGACCTCTGCACTAAAATCTGGACATTACAGTCTTATTTTAAAGCTGTATTATTGATGAACACATCAAAACCTTCTTTACCTCATGAAGAGCGTGAGAAGTAGCTGAACAGTTAAAGCGGTGTGTGTGTGTTTGATCAGAGAAGAAACTAAACCCTATAATGTTACCTTTAATCGTGATGAACATAAATGACTCATCTGATTCTTTCTTCTTTTCAGCGGCAAACGGCACTGAAAGCAGCGAGGAAAACAGAGTGCTTCCTGACCAGAGTGAAGGTTCGGATATCGTTCTCCACCCAGAGGGCCTGCAATCATCCTACAGCCAGAGCTAATACAGCGTTGGAAATCGAAAGCCATATTGTTTTTCCATTGTTTGTAACTTGAGCACTGTGATATACAATGATTATTTATTTTCCAGAGATTTGTGGTACGTCATAGAAAACGATGATAAAAAAAAGGATATTTTTCTATAGATGTGAGCTATTTTCTATATTTATGGTATCGGAAGAACACGTTAGAAACTCAGGTAAATGTACTGAACTCTCAGGTTAGTAAGTGAGAGAGAAAATGTCGTTATGCCTTCACTGTATCAAAACGCCATGCACATGGTGCCCTGCTCTGCTAAATAAACCTTTCATGTTCAACAAGTTACTCTGCGTCCGTTACCTTTCACCACTGCGGATCCCTCTTTTAGGACAGCTTACATCCTGGCACTGCGTCCCTGGGATGAAAATGAGCACGAATTAAACCCTGAACGAGCAACAGATTTACAAAAAAGAAACAGTGTAACAGAAAATGTTTTGCTGAAAAAGGCCAGTCTGGTAAGAAAACACTTAGTTCAGTAAACAAATCTTCTAAATTTCTGCATAATTAAATAAACAGAGTCATTCAGAGTTGTCTGGTGTTCACAGTGGTGCTGATAGGAACCAGACGTCCACCTCTAAAAGCTCCCTCGCAGAAAATTATTACACTAAATGGTTAAGAATATGCTGACTGGGAAAAATTCAGAGATAAAGTTTTGGCTTAAAACATAAAAATAGACCCAAATTTTTTCCATATTTGGCACTATTTCATATAAAAACTCACATATCACTGCCGCCAGAACAAAACTTTACAGGAGAAGGAAAAAATCTCCTTTACTTTTAATATAAGTCAATGGAACCAGACTTTCTGTCCAAGTAATTATGGGCCATTTCTTTTGGTCCATTTATCATGAAATTTGCACACAATATAAAAGAAAAAAGGCATTTTCAAATCATCCCAAAAAATGACAATAAAAATGGAGATATGAGATTTTGTATCGACAGCACATGTAGGTTCACTGGTGGTTCTAGATAGTAAATAAGCCATATTTTTGTTGTAGATGAGCCGAGACCCCTGGTTCCTATCACCATCACCCACCACTGTAAAGAAATCTGACACTGAAGTTTCTCTACGGTGAACCGTTTCATATCAAACCACTGTGACTGACTTTGTTTACATCTCAGTGATTGAATTATGCAGAAATCTAAAATTTGGTGGATCTTCCCTTTAATGACTGACTAATACAGTGAAGCTGTAGAACATGCAGGCGCTGTTTCAGCAGCACCAGGTTCACTAAGTGTAGTCAGTGCGGTTAAACAGCTCCACCTAGTGGAAATGTTTGGAACTGATTAGTTTCATTAGCCAAAGTAACAGCAGCCACCAATGTACCCTTATCATTATACTACACCCTCCCAAAAGATGGTTCTTCAAGGGTTCTTTAGTAAGGAAAATGGTTCTATGTGGAACCAAAAACACTCAAAGTACCCTCTGCATGATTAAAAGGTTCTTTGTATTATGAAATATTTCTTCAGAAAGATGGAGAACGTTCCTCTATTGTTACAAGCTTGAAATCACCACAGTAGAAGAACACTTTTGGGTGCTATTTAGATCCCTTTTCTAAAAGGTTCTACAAAGAACCATCTACCACACATTCTCGAATCAATCTGAAGAACCTTTTAACGATGCAAAGAACTCTTAATAATGCAAAGTGTGCAGCTTCACATTTAGCACTGACACACTCAGACACTAGTACATTCCTAAAAACGATGGTTCTTCAAGGGTTCTTTAGTAGCAAAAATGCTTCTATATAGAACCATGAACACTCAAAGGACCCTCTGCATGGTTAAAGCGGGTCTTTGTATCATGAAATGCTTCGTCAGATTGATGGAAAGCGTGCTGTATATGGTTCTATACAGAACCTTTTTGAAAAGGGTTCTTCTATTGTTACAGGCTTGACATCATAACAACAAAAGATCCCGTTTAGAACACTTTTTTAAAAAAGGTTCTATTTAGAACTATATAGAACGCATTCACTCTCAATCTGAAGAACCCTTTATTGATGCAAAGAACGCTATAATTATACAAAGGGTTCTTTGTTTATGGTTCTATGAAGAACCATTTTATTTACTAAAGAACCCTTGAAGAACCATCTTTTAAGTGTGAAAATGAATTTAATCATTTTTAAATTTCAGTTTGAGCACAAACGTGAAAAAATGTATCAAACCGATCAAACCATCCAGATAAATACGTTTTATCACTTAATTGATCATAGAAATCTGGTCATTTGGTCAAACGTGAGTATCGATTTTTAACAAAGCAACATCTAAAATATTGTGAATAAAAGTGAAAATGATATTTAAACAGATATTCATTCAAGGCAGTTATACAAACTACACAAACAGTCAGAAAAGGTTCTGTGGCTTTATTATTATTACAGTGTGGAATTTAAGAAACTAAATTCCTTTTCATACAAAATTTGGGTTTGAATGGATTAACAAGTAGCTACATGGTTCAAAACCACAGCTAATAAATCTATGAGAACAATAATAGAACCAAAATATTAAGAACCAAAGTAATGTTAATGTGTTAATGTTATCCAGTCGATTCTAAAACAGACGCTAACAGTTGACGCAAACATGCTAACTTAGGCTCAGTTAGGTAGCTAAGTTGGCATCAAAACTACTTACAGAATGAAGGTTTGTTGGGCTAACAGCTAACAGCTAACCTAGCTTAGCATTAGCATTAACACTCTTCAAACGAGCTGACATACAAACACAGCTCTGACCGTCAGTGCTGACCTGCCTCAGGGGGGAACTACGCCTGGCTCACTAGCTAAGCTAACGTTAGCTCTCCTGACTGACTAAACTGAGTAAACGAGGCTGAAACCACCTTCTTAGCTAAGGTGACTCGAATTTTCCCGTTCCACCTTAAATAGTACAGCAGCTACATTCTGGCCCCTCAGATTCGCCTCAGGCACCAGAGTGTAACTGCTGCACCATTTAAGGTGGAACGAGAAGTAGTAAATATGTAAGGGGGCGGTGGAGAAATGCAGGCTGTGTCTCAAATGGCTTCATGCTCCCTCTGTAGTGCATGTCAGACGATGGCATCTACACCGAAATAGTGAATTATATGCCCAATAAGAAGTCGTGCAGCCTGTGGCTGAATCCCAAATGGCTCTCTGTTTTACATACAGCACGCTGTTTGGATGTTGAAGATATTATTATGTGAGCTACGTAGTGCACTAGATAGGGAGTAGGGAGCGATATGAGACGGACTAAAAAGAGAACGTCCCGCTGAAACTCTCAGCAGTGAACAGCAATAAACTCCAACCAGCACCGACAAACATCGCCGAACGGCTTAGAGACGATCAATAAAAGCTAAGAGTTTTATTTAATGGGGTTCATTCATATATATATATGATATGTATACACACACACACACACACACACACACACGTATTTATATATGTAGCTGTTTTATATATAGTGGAGTCTGGTTTCCATGGTAACCAAACAGCGTATGTGACGTCACAAAGAGGCGGGGCTTCCATATAAATAGCTGAAGTTTCCAGCCTCGTGTTCAGTCGACTTGCTGACCTTGTAGAGTTCGGACGTGCGATATTTATCTAGAACCCGACAAGCTCTCAGATAGGACAGCGTGGATCTTCTCCCGTTGAGGTGAGTACAGTTTTACACTTGTTTACATCCCAGAAAAGAAGGAAGAATGGAAGATAATTCGAAAATGAAGAACCAAATCAGGACATTAAACCATGAAAAAGAGAAAAATAAGCAGAATATAGATAGAAAACAAGAATAGAGGTACAGAACCAGAATAGAGAAAAAGAACTAGGATAAAGAAAAAGAATTAGAGAAAAAGAACCATAATAGAGATAAAGAACCAGTAAAAAGATAAAGAATGAAAATAGAGAAAATGAACCAGAATAGAGATAAAGAACCAGAACAGAGATAAAGAACTCTACCAGTGATGGAACACTTAGTGAAAGGTAGCCAGAAGTGAAGCTGTTGACTGTGTAGGTGTGGATATTAGTATGATAAGTAGAAATGAGGTTCTTCACATAGAACCATTTGGACATTTGAATGTGTTTGACAAAAATGGCAATTTTTATATGTACAATTCTAGTTATGTTACAGTTTATTGCACTGGTTATTATATTCTGTATTATAGAATCATTATTATTATTATTATTATTATTATTATTGATGTTGTTATCATTATTAGGCCTATTATTGTTATGCTTGATTGTTTAGACAGTGAATGCTTCTAGTAGTGCCCCCTTGTGCAAAATTCTAGTTTGTCAGCAGGAGAAATCGTGGAAACACAAATTTTGTGTCTTATCAAAACAAAAGGCTGCTGTGCAGTTCCCTGATTTCTTGTGTTTTTTTGTGTGTTTTTAAATCTCAGGACAGTCCACCATGGCAGAGGAAGTGCTCCGTAACACAGCAGCAGGTTCTCTCCCAGAACCTGATGACTCTGCTTTGGCCCATTTCCTACAGAGCCTGACTGATCGGTATGTACTCAGCACTGAGTGGTGCAGCCAGGAATTACTCAAATGTACACTGTCAAATACAAACATACAAATATCCAGCACAATGTACAAATGTATTTACAGGTACACAGATATGAAATATACATATGAATGACATTACTATGCATAAGGAATAAAACACATATATGGCATTTATTATGGCTTATCTTCCATTACAGCTATGTTGCTAGCAGGTTAGCTTTCAAATTATTAATGTTATGGTAACAGATCTGAATCCTGATTGGTTAATCCTGGTTCTTTAGCAGCTGGTAGCCAATAAAATGTGATGAAACAAGCTAACAGACATGACATTTCCCTCTAGGGTGGTTAAATAGACAAGACTCAATAATGATGAATTTGTGTACTTTTATGATCGTCACTTTAGTGCAAAAGTCGCTGTCTCTGTTACATCAGCACTAAATGGCTGTTCTGCATTATCTTTTATCTTTCAGGCAACTACAAGTCATACTTGGTGGGATGCATCAAATGGTGAGCTTTTATAATTCAAATACAATTCATTTATATTTTTATTTTAATATCATTATTGTGAAATCCCAGCAGATGAACCCTGTAAGGCAATGCTAGTGATGACTAATCCTGTCAATATGTTCTTTTACTTGTAGTTTACGAGGGACGAAATCACCATAATGAACATGGCCATTGAGAAGATCGTGACCACAGTATCACAGAAGGTCATCATTCCAACAACTTGTGAAGTTCTGAATATGGATGCCAGTTCGCTTTTCCTTGCGAGACCAGGATCCTCAAATCGTTCTTTGGAGTCAGTCACCAAAGAAGTTCTGAACACCATTGTGAAGACCATCATTGACGCTCTTGATGATTCTCACATGCTTGAGCTTCATAGAAATGTGACAGAAAAGACTGAGCTCCTGGCGTCTTCCTGTGGGTCAGTTGAGCGCCGTAATTCGTCACTGTCTGTTGAGCCCAGTGCTGAGAGCTTGACATCCAAAGACCAGGCACAACTTGAGGAATGTGCTAAAGATGTGATTCTTGAGGTTTACACCATCTATCAGGCCAAAGAACTGAAGAGTGCATTGGATTTGTCTTGCCCTCCAAAGATGTGCGTCAGAGATTTTGCAGAATGCTTGCTATCAGAGCTGGGTGACATGAAAACGTCCTCTCAGAGTTCATCGATCAGTAATGATATCAGCTCTGATCCAGCCTGTGGTGGAAGTGACAGCATGGCTGATAAAGCACTCAAAAGAGCTAAGTCCTGTCATAGAATCCCCAGCCTTATGAAACTGACCAATATGGCTTGCAAGATGGAGACTTCCGTTCCTGGACAAACTCTGAGGAACGCATCCTTGTATGCCAAAATCTTTGTGGATGAGCTGTTAGTCCACCTGGACTCATTTACAAAGTCCGAGGTATCTGAGGATGCTCGGTCAGTACTTGGACAATGTACCTCTGATACATCTCTCATATCAGAGTTGCTTGTAGACCATTTAATGGCATACATCCAAGAGGTGTCAGGTTCATCTTTCGGAGACCGCATACCTGCCACTACTCTGGATTGTCGGGTACCTTCTTTCTGTCGAAGCTTCTCAGCTAAGAGCTTCCAGAAAATCCAGAGTGAGGATACTCGGATCAAGGCAGCTCAGGAAGTGAGTAAAATCTTACTCGAGTCTTCAAGCTTCCTTGTGAGTTCTCCACGTTCCCGGCGTGCTCACACAAGCCAAAGACATTGCAGTGTGGAACCAACTCCGTCGGAATGTTTGCTTAAGGCATTCGACCTCGTCGATTCCGTCATTGATGGAATTTGCGAACATCTGGATTCTACAACACCAGATGGTTTGAAAGAAACACGGTCTGAAGCTTTGGGTTGGATGGAATCAGGTGTTGACGCCCCTGAGGAGATTCTGTGGTACACTGCGTGTAGTACTTACAACAGTGCCATGAGACACCTCAGGGATTTTTCTGCAGTGTATCAGCAGAAACCACCTAAGGTCGATCCTTTAGAGATCAGTGTTGGGGGAAGTGTTGGTAAGAAATCACACCTAGAAAGACCATCAGTGATCGATGAACACGAGCCACCTAAGAGCAGAGAGAGGGTTTCAGTGGCCTCTTTACTGGACACCATGATGGCCTCCCTGGGTTTACAGAGCTCAGGTCCTTTTAACTCTCTTGAGGAGTTATCTGCAGCAGCAGAAAGAGTGGAGGACCTGTTTTCGACCGCAGCCCCTCAGGAGTTGGCCAACATGGTCCGGCTCATACTGACAGACAGATTAAGTTCTCTGAACATGTCAGCATCTGTTCTACAGCACTACCCTTACCTACAACGACCCTTTGCTTCTGACTTTCTTGTTGAATTTGCAGACAAGGCGGTGAAATGTTTGCTCAGGTCATGCATTGCCCCTCGACCAGTTTCTACCACTGCTAATGACATTCCGAGTCTGGTGATGCCCTTCAGAGTCACTCCTGAGAGTTTTGAGATCTCAAGACCCCCATCTGAGGTGTTTTCTGACACAGTGGATCTGTTCTCCGAAGTAATCGTGAACAGTGTGATGGACAAAGTGTCAGCACTGTCCAATCATGAGTTGGATGCTGTGGATTCAAATGCTGAAGAGACACCAGAAAGTGACTCACACAGCTCTGAAGAACTCAATATATCTCCAATCATTTCCATGGATGCTCTCCATTGTTGCGTACATGCAATATTACACAGTGTACAGGAGATTTCATCCACTGGGGTCCATGGATCTCCTCTCTTAATTGATGAGGACCAGGTCCAGAATGTTACCAACATGGTCAAAGGAATTTTATCCCTTTTCACTGCTGTCACAGTGGAAGATGGAGAGCATGCTCTCCAAAAACTTCACCATTCCATCATTGATGCTGTGTATGAAGAGCTTCTTCAGAGAATGAGATCCGAAAATCAGCTCATTGAAGCAGTAAAAGCCCAGAGTGAGCTGTTGGCAGGATCTCTGGCTGTTTCTGTCGTCAGGGCAATTAAGAGTGCAGACCCTAAAGACTTGTACCGTCCTGCATCGGTTGAGTCTGGTTCCTCTCCCTCTATCAAAGAGGAACCTTTGGTCTCCAGCCAGATCACTGATGACGTTTTCGTATCAAGCCAAGTCTCAAGCAGAGGTCTGCTTACGTCGGAAACAAAGGATCATGCCATCCTGGCAACTTGGCTTGTTCTTCGGACTCTGGCGCAGTCAGCAGCAACTTCATCAGACCTAACAAAGGAAGCGAGCTCGAACGATCCGAAAGAGCTGATTGAGAGAATTCTCAGCGAGTTCTCTGCATCCTCTAGTGCTGCAAAGCTGGAGGAAGCTCTAACAGGTACGTTTCTTGAGCTCTTTCAAAGGTTTGGTGAGGAAGGTTCTCTGCAAAAAGCTTTGGACCCTCGAGACTCTGCATTTGATGAGGCCCTGATGACTGCCTTACGGAAGCATCTAGATGCAGATGCTTCAATTGCAGGGCCCGAAACAGAGAGGCCGAAGAACATGAACCTGAAAAAGCTCAAGAACATCTTCAATCTCAAGATGCCAAAGCCCAGCATCTTCAAAAAGGTAAGAATCATTTTAAAGTAGTTTTAATGTTGTGCTATTTTGTCCCAGTAACATTATGTACATCATATTATTAACATGCTGTTATATGCAATATTAATATGAACACTTTGAATTGTGGTGAGACTTAAATGATTACAAGTTTGATGATATGATCAATTTCTCACATCATAGAAATCCAGAAAGGACGATAATGCTGGTCAATCTTCAGATCAGGACCATTTGCAGAGTCGCCGCACTGCTGATATGAGTAAGTTTACATGGTTAATTAAATTCATGTGTAGTTTAGATTTAGTGAAGTTTGAGATAAATGGCAATATAACTTTAAAACAGGCACTACATATTTAGTAAAATAGCCATTTCCATTATTTGATATGCAAACACTGAATGTGAAATCTTCTTTCTGCAGGTGGATCCAAGAGTGTGTCAAAAAAGGAGAAGCCTAGGAGAGCGTCCATTTGTTCCAGGATGTTCTGCTGGTTTAGGAAAATCAGCTGCCTTGGGCCCCTTTAAGCTCATTCATTTCCATTAAGATCTTCATAATCTCTCTTCGTGCTCCCGTCAGGCCGAATCCTGCCAGAACACAAAATCACCTATCACTGTTCTCCTGACGACACCCAGGTTTACTTCACTCTCTCACCAAAAGACTGTGGTCCCATAGATACTTTGTGTCGGTGCTCAGAGCAAATCCAGTCGACCAGAGGAGGATGGGTTCCCCTTTTGAGTCTTGGTTCCTCTCAAGGTTTCTCCCTCTTGCTCTTAGGGAGTTTTTCCTTGCCACCGTCGCCCTCGGCTTGCTCATCAGGGGCTCGGACCTGGATTTTCTCTGAACCTGCTTTGTGACGCTCGTTGTAAAATGTGCTGTAGAAACAGATCTTAAAATGAGTTAAAGGATCTGTCAACATTTCCTCCAGATAAATCAACACAGAAGTTGTATTACTTGGCAATGAAGAGGAAAGACTGAAGGTCAGTGCAGACTTCAGAGCTCCAGTATCTAAAGACTAAGTCAGAAACCTGGGTGTACCAACGGATCCAAATTAAAGCTTTAATCCAGCCTGAAATTTAGTTTTAAGTTTAAATTCCCCAATCAATGCAGGATGTCAGCCTTCACCTGTTTAATCCTAAAACTCTGTTTCTTTACATAGACTGTATTCAACATGTAGCAGAAACAGTTTTGGCCAAACCAATGAAATATAAAAGTCCTTCTGTGGCTCTAAACCAGCTCGCCTGCTGCTTGAAGCTGGAATCGGCTGCCAGAAGATCTCAGATTTGCCCCTAATTCGTCTTTAAATGTTTAAAGTCAGATTCTTCTTTTTATCTTCTGCATCTTTCATACTTTCCGTTTAGACTTTGCACTTCTTTTCAGTTCATTTTAGTTTTTTGTTTCCCCCTTATTTTATTGTACAGTTTTTGTTTTGTTTTTATTCATCACTTTGTAAAGCACTTTGAACTGCCCTTTTAAAATAAACGTGTAGTAAATAAATTTGCCTCCTGAAATCTTAATTAAACCTTCAAAATCATGATTGACATGAGGAGAAAAGGTTTTTACCTTCTGTTTACATCAAAACTAACTGTCAAAAACAGAGTCATATGCAATTTGGGTCTGTCTGTCTGTCTATTTATCTATCTATATATGTATTTATCTGTCTATCTATATATCTATCAATCTATCTATCTGCCTATATGTCTATCTCTCTGTCTATACATCTATCTATTTATTTCTCTATTTGTTTGTCTTTGTCTTTCTGTCTAACTATATATGTGTATCTATCTGTCTGCCTTACTGTCTGTCTGTCTATCTATCTATCTATCTATCTATATGTCTGTCTGTCTATCTGTCTGTCTGTCTATCTGTCTGTCTGTCTGTCTGTCTTGCAGATGTATTGAGTCAGAGGCAAAAAACAGCAGCTCCTCCTCTTTGATCTTATTCTAAAGAGCTGCTGCGTCTGTTTAGTAAATCACGACACTTTTAACTCCAGAAGAGTTTTTGTGACACAGAACATCAATAACAATAAATCTGCACCAAAATCTGTTCAACATACAGTCATAGAATCACAAACGTGCCAGTCGCTCATAAACACGGTGATGTTTAATGCAGAAACCTTTAGCCAGTGTTGTATCAGATGTGGCCTACAGGCAGACACGCCCCCTCACAGTCAAATAAACAGTGACAGAAACAGATAAAGGACTAAACATGTAGAATCAAGAACACAGGAAAGATGAGAAGATTAATAATCATATATCCAGTAAATATACAGTTACTGTCTGTTACATTAGCAATAAAACGGCTTTTCTGC